TCATTGCTGTGGTGTAAATGGACGTCTTTGCTTGATGCTCAGGAAAAGCTTTAAAAGAGCTTAGCACAGAGCTTGACACATCGTAAGAGCTGAGAAAATGGGAACTACCATTGTCATCACCCATTTGAGCCCTCATAAGGTAGATCAGTATTTGGTTGATGGAGCAAAACCACCACACTAGCTTGTGACCACCATGAAAAGGTGACTGAGTGCGGAGGCTGGATCAGAGACACCATGTGTTAGCTTTTCTAGCTTGTGGTTCGTGGGCGGAGGTGGTGGAAAGAGCTCTTCAGGAAAGGGGTCTTGCGTGGCGGTGTGAGTCATCTACAAGGACTTCTTGGGCACTCACTGGGTGTGGTCCGCTAGACCTAGAAGAGGAGGGGATGGGGGACTGAATGATGCCTGGAATGCTCCTGTATTTTTTTTTTTAAGATTTTATTTATTTATTTGACAGACAGGAATCACAAGTAGGCAGAGAGGCAGGCAGAGAGAGAGGAAGGGAAGCAGACTCCCCGCTGAGCAGAGAGCCCAATGCAGAGCTCGATCCCAGGACCCTGGGATCATGACCCGAGCCAAAGGCAGAGGCTTTAACCCACTGAGCCACCCAGGCGCCTGGAATGCTCCCGTATTAAGCCTTATCACACAAAGCCAATTCTTCATTCACATCCACACTTGATGTCTCCTATCCCGTATGGTGTATGCCTGGGTGGAGAGTTCAGTGTTGCAGGGACCAGAAATAAAAGTGTTCTTATGTATTTGGTTTGTCCGGAGTGTGACCTAGCTGAAAGACGACAGGCTTGTGCATCTCCCGTACTTGCATTACTACAAGAGAAAGAGATCCAGAGGCGACATGAATAGGTTGAGGTGTCTAGCCCAGGATGAGGTGAGCCAGGCACACAAGAACTTCCTTTCCTGGGCCGAGTACTTGAGTCAGAATACCTTGGGGTCATGCAGGGCCCGTGTTGGGGGTCACTGGCAGGATATGCCCAACAGAGTTTGGGGAAGGAGTGACAAGTTTGCCAGGTGACATGTGTGATATCAGGGCTTCCCTAGCCAACATCTGCCCCACTTTCCTTCGTAGTTCAGTAATGTCCACCCTGTCATTTGAGGGCAGAATATTAAAAAATATCTTTTTAACTCTACTGGAAATAGATGATACCATTTTTCTAAAACCCAAATCAGTGCTCTCATTTGCTTGTGGTTAATTGTAAAGGCAGGATGAGGTAATAAGGGAACCAAAGAAAGCCCCAAATTTAAGTAGAAAGGTCTGTCATGGTGGCTAGAAATTGGCTGCCACTCTCTTCGCTGTAAGTAGTGTTTTTTATTTCTGACGAGGGTGTGCATCTGTCTTTGTGGAAAATGAGGTGACGTGGAGACCATCTGCCCTAGAGGACAGGGCTGTCTGGGACTCAGGGTCCATTCTTCTCCTCTGGCCCAGCCTTGGTTGACATCTCCGCCTACAGACACAAGTCCTGGTCTGCTTTGTGTCTCTTAGGAAGGCACTTCTCCACATCTTATGAGAAGCGAGCAGGATTTAACCTTCTTGTTGGGAGAAGAGCTAATTATCTTTCTAGGAGATCATCCTTGGCACTGCTCAGAGGAAGTGCAGGCATAGGGTTTAGTTACAGAGCAATTCATATTGAATTGAGCATCCAGTAAGCCTTGAGTTTCTTTTATTTTCAGAAGACCCCCTCTCTTAATATTATAGGCAAGAGGACGTTGGTTTCTTTTTCACATGGAGTAATCTTCTCACTGGATTTTTTTTTTTTTTTTTTTTAATCTGGGGCAGTGCATAGAGCAGAGAGATGAAGAACACTGATAAGCAGAGTGGACAGATCTGGTGTTTGATGTCAGCTCTGCTCCTTACTAGCTGTGTGGCCTGGGGCAAGGTACTTAACCTCTCTGAACACCTGTAACAATGAATGATATCAATGGACTCCCAGGATTTTGAGTGAGAATAACATTTATAAGGTGCCCGGCACAGTCCGCATCATCTAATAAACACATACGTGAAAAACCTAGGTGCTATTATTACTTAGTACCCAAAATATGACCTTGGCCAGGATTGTGTAATGAGACCGGAGACACAGAAGGGATGGACATATTCATGGCCACTGCCATGCCTGGGATGACAGGGATGTCTGGGTGAGGAACACACATACAGAATCTGGAGCCATCGGCGTGTGGCCGGAAATTGGAGCCGCAGGGGTGGGTGTGGCCATCAAGGGAAAATGAGTAGAGCACTGGCCGCAGAGCCCTGTGACACCAGTGTGTCTCCCAGGGCAGAACCAGGAGGACCAGCCATCCAGCTGACAGTTGGCAGCACACACCTCAGAGAGCCTTTCTGGAAAACCAATGCCAGGCCATCTTTGTCCTGAGTTTTAAAATGCCTCTACCCCCCACTTCCCCATGTCCCCTACTGTCCCTCTGACAGTCAGAATTAAAGACAAGATGGGAGTCAATGAGTCTGATTCTGGGGACACCTGGTTTCCTGTGGATTCCCATAGGCACTTTCCGTGGCTGTAAACGCCCTTGGTTTCACACATTCCTACAGCGTTTACTAAGTGATTCCTCAACCGAAAAACATGTCCATTCGGAAAGTTATCCTGCATTTTCCTGGGTGACATTTGCTGCCCTGTCCGCCCCCACCACCCCCACTCTGATGGAGCTCTGTCTCTGGTCAGACATCTGTGTAGGAACAGCGCTGGTGAGGTCATCCCATCCCTATGCTCCTACACCAGGCGAGTCTCTCCTGCCATGCGTTGGAAGGAAAGCCAGCAGGCTTCTCCTCTCGCTCATTACACTTGACAGAAGTGCTAGGACGAGGATCCCTCCTTCCCATCCTCTTTTGAACAATCACCCTGCCCAGGGAAATCTAAGCTCAACTCGGGGAATCCAAGAGGCTGCAATTAGCGAAGACATCTTGTTACAAGCGACAGGCGGCAGAAGGGCCGGCGACACTGAAGGCTCCTGCGAGGGCTTCTGGGGTTTCTCATATTCCAGGCTTCCAAAAACAAACACCGGGAGACTGGGCTGCGCACAGCCTTGCTGCGGTTTATGGCAGGAGTCTGTGGCTGTTTTGCATTCGTGCAGAACTTCTTCAAAAAGCCATCTGTACTCCATTTGCTTCTCAGAAGAGAGGGAGCCATAGGGTGGGGGCGGGGTCTGGATGGCAGGAGCCTGCTTTCTGGCTCCACTGCTGCCTAGGAAGGGGATTTGGGAGGGAAAACTCCATGCTAAGAGGTTGCCTTTGAGATCAGCATGTGCGGCTATTGGAGGAGACGGAAGTATTGGGGGGGTTGTTAAGGGCTCAGTTAGTGGCCACTGTGTAGACCGAGTTTGCAGCCTTGTACTTTCGCTGCATAATCAAGGGCATACTGCTTCACGCCCCTGACTCTCAGTCCCTGCCTTGGGGAAGGAACAGAGCTCTATGTGTGACTGTGTTATCATGGGGTTGAACTTCGGAAGACAGCAATTGTGAAATATGGTTATTTCTACCCTATACCTGCCTTCCAACTCACTCTACTGGCCCTCCCCAAACCCCTTCTCCTCTGACAAAAGTCCCAAGCAGATTCCAGAGCTGCCTGGTCACTTTGGGTATTGGAAGAGCACCCTCTTGTGAAGAGGGGGTCCTTCCCAATAGGAAAACCTCTCTCTTCCATCCAGGCCCCCCATGTTGTCAGTGTCTGTACCAATACTTGAGAGTCTTGAGTTGGTCACAGACGCCCTGCGGCTCACTTTCCAGCCGAGGGCTGTGCCATGACAGCCCAGCTAAGAGGTGTTCTGGTGAATGTGTGCCCCTCAATAAATGCGAGGCCAAGGCCCTGGCTAGGGGGCCAAGGCCCTGGAGGCCCCTCCAAGACTCTCCTGGAGTCTTCTTGGCCTTGGTCTGATAGTGGTGAAGGATGTGTCATTCTGGAGAAGGGCTGGGGAGGCATCCTTTACACACGGATGGAGCTGAAGGCTCACACATCCTGGGGCCAGGCTAGAGGTGAAACCCAGCAGCCTGTTCCTGCCCCAGTGGCCTGGACTGACTGACAAAGCAGGCCAGCTGGGCATGGATGGCTTTAAGGGTGACTGAACCCCTTGGCTTGTGTGATTCTGTGCTCCTGCCTTGGGAGGGCTCCAAGGAATTGGCCTTGGGTCCTTTCCTTAGGAGGCTGACAGCCTCACGGGGAGACAAACTGCGCGCAAGAGTAACTATAACACAGGGTAAACCATCAGGAGGCCCCCGAGGAGCCGACACATTTCTCAGAATGCTCAGCATAAGGAGAGCTAGTTTCCACTGGGAGTGAGATGGGGGGCGGGCAGGAGAGAAGGCTTCATGGAGAAGGCATTTGCGTTGGAAATTCTGCTCTTTTACTGGCTTGAAGGCAGAGGTGGTGAGGAGAACTCTGGCCCAGCATCTGAGTACAGGCTCTGCCCTTCCTGGCTGTGGAACCTGGGCCCACGAGCTTGATCCCTTGAGCCTTGGTTTTCTCACGTGTGCAAAGCAGCGTGATATGGGGTGACGAGCACGGGCGCCGGAGCTGGATCGCCTGCTTGCAAATTCTGCTGCTCTTGGCTGCTTGCCTGTGGGCAAGTCATTTTAGGCTGGCCGAGCCTCAGTTTCTACATCTGTAAAATGGGGTACAAATAATATACTCCACGAAGGATTGTTGTGAGGATTGAACTGGTACACAGCATTCTCTCTACGTGCAGGTGTTCTGTAGGTGGTGTTGACGGGGCAGGTAATACTAGGAGCATGGTATAGATTAGGGCTGGGGGCAGTTGAAGCCTGGTCACAGTAGGCCCTTTATAGGAGACAGTTGTTATCCTTGTTATTATTAGTCAGGTGAGTATAGAATTAGAGTGAAGAGGTGGGTCTCCTAGGTACTGAACGGTGTAAGCAAAGCCAGGAGGCAGGAATGGACAATGTGTGAGAAGGAACAAAAACTTTGGTTTGGAACCTCAGGACCTACAGGATGAAATATGTCTGTTGGTTTCTCAGCCTCCTGTGGGCTCCTGGAATCCACTCAAAAGTCCAGATTCCATCCGCAATTCCCCATGGCTTGTCTTTCGCATCTTTTCTGGGTACAGGTCTCCAAGAGGGTCTGCTCCCTGTCTCTCCGAGGATGGGTCTCCAGGGGACATTCTGCTTCCCCCTGGGGCTCCTCATTGGATCTGTGCTTTCGGTGGCATCAGCCCCAGCCACTCTCAAACCTCATGGCTGCAGCGACAAGGAGCAACAGGTCACCGTCAGCCATACCTACAAGATTGACGTGCCCAAGTCTGCACTGGTCCAGGTGGAGACTGACCCTCAGCCCCTCAGCGATGATGGGGCCTCACTCCTGGCACCTGGGGAGGCTGAGGAACAGAACATCATCTTCAGGCACAACATCCGCCTGCAGACGCCACAGAAGGACTGTGAGCTGGCAGGCAGCGTCCGAGACCTCCTGGCCCGGGTGATGAAGTTGGAGGAGGAGATGGCGGAGATGAGGGAGAAGTGCAATGTCCACCGCTGTTGCCAAGGTGCTGCTGGTGAGCTTGCCACCCGGTATTCATTCAACAAACCCTCACTGGGCACCTGCTATGTGCCAGGTGCTCTCTGTGAGTCTGGCGGGCGGGCGGGGGGTCTTGTCTTTTGAACTAGCTCCAGGCAGTATCTGTAAGCCTCAGTAGACAGGGACCAGCAACTCTTAAAGTGAGTCTGGACTCCTGGGTTTAGGCTTCTGGGTGCTCTTTGTGGATCCAATCTCCACGGGAAGGGGGAACAGTGGGAAAGAGAGGAAAGCTGGTCGGCCCTGGAGCTAGACAGGACCTGGTACAAATCCAGTCTCGTCACTATTTAGTGGCGTGACTCTGAGTAAATTCCTGAAGTTTTCTAAACTGTTCAATTAGGATAATTCTATCACCTAGTCCAGTTCTGAGAACTGCAGACACTGTACAGAAGTTTCCTGGCCCGTGGTAGATATTTAGCAAAGCGGACCCAAATCATACCGGGTAGTATGTTGACATCCCTTTCTATGCTGGGGGAAAAGCCACGGTTGAGAACATCTATATACCGGACAGACACCTGGGTACCAGGGCCACCACCACGAATGACACAGCACGGACGGCAGTGGAGGAAACTCCCTGACAAAAATGTCTAGGAAGGAAAGAGGGTGTTCTGAGAAGCAGGAGCTGGGCTGCTGACTGGCCAGGGCCTCCAACTGCCTCTTGCTGCCTGGGCCTAGAGAGGGGAGCCTGGGGGATCCCTTTTTCCACCCCCCCAGCCCCAGAGTGTGAATGGCCTATTGGGGGAGCTTCTGCCGGCCCACTTTTCCAGGCTTCAGTGTGGGCAAATTTCCCAAGGAGCCAGCCTTGCTAAGGTCCAGCCTGCTCCCAGGCAGCCTGGATCTCCCCTGCCTGCCCCCTGCCCCCCCTCCCCAAGCCTGCCCCTCAGCACAAGCCGGCGCGCTGATGCCCGGGCTGGAGCAGTGCTCGCGCCTTCATGGTTAGGTCCTCAATACTTACCTCTATTTAGAGCGGAGGGAACCAGAACTCACTTGAGCACTTGGATGAGAAGGGAAAGGGATGGGACTTCACGTGGCATTTGGGGAGTGAAAGGACACGTCTGTAGCTGCCGCAGGTCGGAGTCTGGCCCAGGTTGGAAAGGGCAGACGCCTGTCTTCATCCCAGGCCCTGGCCTCCTCGGAAGGAGGCGGCGAGAGGGCCCCGGCCCTTGGTGCGCTCGGCCGCCCTCACCCCCAGCCTGCTCTCCTCTCGCCCGCAGGTGGGAGCCACGACTGCAGCGGCCACGGGACCTTCTCCCCCGACACCTGCACCTGCCGTTGCGAGCAGGGCTGGGAGGGCGCGGCGTGCGAACGGCCCGCCTGCCCTGGGGCATGCAGCGGTCACGGGCACTGCGCCGCCGGCCGCTGCGAGTGCGAGCCGCCCTACGTGGGCGCCGACTGCGCCTACCCCGCCTGCCCCGACGACTGCAGCGGCCACGGCACGTGCGTGCGCGGCGTCTGCCAGTGCCACGACGACTTCACGGCCGAGGACTGCAGCGAGCGCCGCTGCCCCGGCGACTGCAGCGGCCACGGCTTCTGCGACACGGGCGAGTGTTACTGCGAGGAGGGCTTCAGAGGCCTCGACTGCGCCCAGGGTGAGCCCACCGCGAGGCCTGACTCTCTCCTTTCCCCGCCCCGCGCCGGTGGCCTTTAGCTGTCGGGACACCTGGGCCGAGCAGGGAAGCAGCCTCTGGTCCACCTCGGAAGCCCCGGGGTGGGGGTGGGGGGCTTGTAAAACACAGATTGCTGGCTCGGCCGGAGATTCTGATGCAGGCGGCCCGGGGTGGGGCCCGAGGATCTGCATTAATAACCGGTTCCAGCGGCTATTGGTACTACTGGTCTGAGAACCAGCCGTCTTCTGTGACCTGATGGCGCTGTGTGTGTGTGTGTGTGTGTGTGTCTAGGGGTGATCGAGTGGGCGTCAACTCCCCCACCATGTAGCTTCCGGTGGGACGAGGGTGCGGGGGTGTGGTGGGTGGTCCAGAGTGGTACCTGCCACCAGAGTTAAGTATATAGTGGGTGCTCGGTGACGTTGGTTGTGCCTTTTTGCCCCTTTCCTCCCCTCCCCGCACCTCTGGTGTTCTGCATACAGTGGTGGCTCCCCAGGGCCTGCAGCTGCTCAGGAGCACGGAGGATTCCCTGCTGGTGAGCTGGGAGCCCTCCAGAGAGGTGGACCACTACCTCCTCAGCTACTACCCTCTGGGGCAGGAGCTCTCTGGGAAGCAGATCCAAGTGCCCAAGGAGCAGCACACCTACGAGATCACTGGTTTGCAGCCTGGAACCAAGTACATAGTTACCCTGCGCAACATAAAGAAAGAAGTTTCCAGCAGCCCACAGCATCTGCTTGCCACAACAGGTGAGGGATGCCTCAGGTTTCGCAGGGAAGGCCCTATTTAAATTTTTTTTTTTTTAATTCATTTGACAGAGATCACAAGTAGGCAGAGAGGCAGGCAGAGAGAGAGAGAGAGGGAGGAAGCAGGCTCTTCACTGAGCAGAGAGCCCGATGTGGGGCTCGATCCCAGGACCCCGGGATCATGACCCGAGCAGCAGAGGCCTTAACCCACTGAGCCACCCAGGTGCCCCGGAAGGCCCCATTTTAAATGTTTTCTCCCATCGTCCCCCCAAATACCTAATACTCAGAACATTGCCCTTGTTTGGGGTTGCAAAACATGGCTGCTGCAGTCCTGCTTTCTGGAGAAAAATCTCTCAGCTTTTCTTGGCTCCCTTCTCTCAGTTCTGCCAAGGCAGTGATAGAGCCTGCTGGCCTGGGGCCCAAGGGGTCTTCTCTGCTCCTGAGATTAGTAAGGTCTGAGTACCCTGTGGCCACACCCAAGCAGCCAAGGAGGCTTTGAGGCCTCGAGGAGGCTTTGAGGCCATTCAGCAAACTGGAGTTGGGACGGGTGAAGGTTTACTGAAGCCACCTGTATCAGAGTCATCTTAGCAGGAAAGAGAGAGGGTAAATAGTAATTGAAGACAGTTTAGGGAAGAGGCATGGGTGGATAGGATTTGGCTGGTAGAACACTCTAGAACTAGCATCAGTGGGATCCACCCCAATCTGAAGGAGCAGGGATGGAAATTGGTTATAGGAGAGGGCTGTCTGAGAAGGCAGTTTGGGTAGAGATGCAGGCTATCTCTCATGGCCTTACCAGAAGGGAGGGAAGGAGATCAGGAACTCTCTATCCTGCCTTCTGAGCTCCTGGTAACTCACTGGTTGAACGTAACAAGAAGCCAGAGGGCAAGGGGATCTGACTAACCCAATTCATAGCGGTCATCGTCTGGGATACACAGGAGGACAGAAGATGGATTTGGGGAGATAGAGTCTCCAGTGTACCACCAAATATTACCAAAGTGTTTGCAAAGACAAACCTCGTGGCTTACTGTTTTAGAGATCTTGTTTTCTCATGAAAGTTCTTAAAGCAGCTTAGATCTTCAGGAACTTGGAGAAACCCAGTTAATCTGAGTGATTCTGATCCCTTCATTCACTCATCTTATTTTACTGAACATCTACTTTGTACCAGCCACTGTTTTAGTTGCTGATTAAAATCTACCGCTGCCTCTACCCTTCGCTAAACTCCTGGGGAAAGATCCAGGAGACCCAGGTGGTTGGGCTTTTGGGCCCATCGTTTTCTTTGCAGAAGCATCAAGCTGTCTATCCTGTTCAGTGGTGGGGATAGGGGTGGCTCCATGTTGGAAAGGGCCATGAAGGACCTGTCATCCTGGGGGTATAATCTGTGATTGCCTTTCTCGACCCCCTCCAGCCGTAGGCCCCTTAGGACACCCCTGGAGTCAAGCAGGTTGGGTTTATTGGCTGTTGGTGTGGGACAACACACCACAGGATCTGTGTATGTCTTAAGAAGAGCATTAGAGGGACGCCTGGGTGACTCAGTTGGTTGGGCAGCTGCCTTCGGCTCGGGTCATGGTCCCGGCATCCTGGGATCGAGTCCCACATCGGGCTCCTTTCTCGTCAGGGAGCCTGCTTCTCCCTCTGCCTCTGCCTGCCATTCTGTCTGCCTGTGCTCGCTCTCTCTCCCTCTCTCTCTCTGACAAATAAATAAATAAAATCTTAAAAAAAAAAAAAGAAGAGCATTAGAAAGGACTGGAAAAGAATTGGGGCTTGTGTTGGATGATTGAAGGCAGTAGGGGTTTGCTTTGGCTTGCATGCCTTCGTCAAGAGGAGTTAACTCCATGACTGGTAACTTAGTGAACCTTTTTTAGAAAAAGCCGACTACAGGGAGGCTAAAGCCATCATCAGAGAAGAAGGGTAGTCACTCATATTAGTCAGGGGAGAGAATGTTGGGTTGTTTTTGTGGTTTGGACAGTATTCCTGCTTTTGCCTGTATTCAGACATGATTACAGAATGGCCTTCTTTTGTCTTCAGCTATCATGACCACACGGTGGCCTTTCTGATGCTGATGTTCTGTGAAATCATTTATGCTCAGTGAGAGTGCACCCAAGCTAACCTGTGAGAACCAGGCCAGGTCCCCACAGTTGGGCTGCTTTTCTCTTTCTCTCCATTTTTGTCTGTCGCGGCCTCTGTCTTTAGTGCCCAAAGCCTCCCAATGAAGAGCAGAGACAGCTGTTCTGAAAGTCTTAGTAACCCTCTTGGCTTCTACACTAGGGACTTGTGAAACCTTGTAACTGTGAAGCTTGTCTTTCTTTCTAATCTGATCCATGTTAAATCCTTTCTGCTTCCTCCTCAGGGAAACCCCAGTCTGAGAGACACTTATCCCCATAATAATCTTGAATATTTTCATTAAGTCTCTGCTTTTTCATTTGTGAGCTGTATAGGTCCCTTCTGTGATCCTTGAGTCACTTTCATTACTGACCTCTTGACCTGTTCCTTCAAGGAATTCCTATATTTGAAGGAAGAAGCTGGAGGCTGGGAGATGGAAGCCAGTAGGTTGGAGGAAATTCTTCAGAGAAAAGGCTCTGTGAGATTCTTGTTCATAGCAGAGTGAATCAGAAACATTCAGACCCGAGGGACCTCAAGAGCACCAAGTTCACCCCCTGCCTGATGCACAAATTCTGTGTCCCATGTCCTTTACAAATTCTCTGTCCCATGCCCTTGACAAGGGAGCACCAACAAGGCAGTGAAAATGGGTATGTGACCAAGGAAGGGGCAAGGCTGAGAGCTTAGGGGCTTCAAACTTCAGGTCAGATGACATCCATTGGATATGGCTATTGAATATGGCCATTGGATACAGCCATTGGAACCCACCGCTCTCAAAGACCCAGTCCCCTCCCCAGCCACCGCCCAAAAGTTCTTCCCTTGGAACCACATCAGTGATCAATTCCTTTATATGAATCATTATAATTTCATTTTTTTTACAAGTGGAAGGGTAAACATTTAGTCATTAATACTTGGCTATGAATAAATAAGTACAGTAACTCCGATAACTCTCCTCTGCAGGCTGGACAGGTTGGGCAGCTGAGGTCACCAGGTCTAAACTCTGGTAGAAGGCACAGCGAAGATACTCAGGATGACCAAGTTAAAATTCACCTATTTTATAGTTTTCCCTTATGTTAGTCTTTTTTTTTTTTAAATTTATTTAACAGACAGAAATCACAAGTAGGCAGAGAGGTAGGAAGAGAGAGAGGAGGAAGCAGGCACCCCGCTGAGCAGAGAGCTTGATGCGGGGTTCAATCCCAAGACCCTGGGATCATGACCTGAGCCAAAGGCAGAGGCTTTAACTCACTGAGCCACCCAGGTGTCCCCCCCATGTTAGTCTTTACAGGAGAATGTGAGTGGCAAAGAAGGAGCTGTAATTTGGGAGATGGAGGAAGAGACTGGTTGTATTATCAGTATTATACTCGAGATAATTTCAAAAGCATTCCCACACTTTACATGGGAGAAGCTGAGCTTCTCCTCTTGGGATTGTCTTTGAGGGCACGGTGCTGCAGCTAAAGGGTGTGTTTCATTCAGAGCGGCCTGACCCCCGGGTCTGGAGGTTTGCGTGGCTGGTTGGAGACGTGTGGTCCAGGGCTTGGCCCATGGCGGCTTTGACAGGGAGGGCAGCATGGCATCTGATGGGATGGGATGGGAGGTAGGAGGCTTTCTCAGAAGATAGTCTTTCCTCCGTGGATAATGTGAGAGCCAACAGTTTATTTGCTACTTTGGTAGTTTTAAGACGCCTGTTAAGGATATGTGTGCTGGGGTGAAGCATGTTCTTAGTGTGTCTGGAAAGGCCACTGACCTTACTAGGCCAGTGACTGCTCCAGACCTGCCTGAGCTCTTCTCTTCACTGCTTTCTCCCACCTTCCCTGACACCTGACCTAGATCTTGCCGCGCTTGGTACTGCGTGGGTGACGGATGAGACAGAGAACTCTCTTGATGTGGAGTGGGAGAACCCCCCGACGGAGGTGGACTACTACAAGCTGCAGTACGGCCCCCTCACAGGGCAGGAGGTGGCCGAGGTCACTGTGCCCAAGAGCAGTGACCCCAAGAGTCGCTATGACATCACCGGTAAGAGCCAACACTGGGGATGTGGGGTGTTTGCCGTGGACGCTGCGGTGGGGACAGTGAGCACAGAGGGTCCTGGGGCCCTAGGAATCCCTTGAACTCTGACTCTGGAAACTCCCAGACAAGACCCCAGTTGGTTGACCCGCAGAATGGACTCTAGCGTCCCAGAGCTGACTCTGGAATCTCAGAGCACCTGGCTGACAGAGGACAGCCCAATGTCCTCTTAAAAACCCTGTCTGTGTCTCAGGGTGGATATGTCGGTGTAGACATTCCTGTCGGTGTAGACATTCCTTTTGAAAGAACTTTGTGTGTGTGTGTGTGTGTGTGTGTGTGTGTGTGTGCGTGCGTGTGTGAGAGAGAGAGAGAGAGACTGGTTTATTTGGCATGCTGCATGGAAGGAGTGATGCTGGGAGGCCTGGGTGGGGAGATCCTTGTCCCATTTGACCAAGTCAGTCTACTGAGAGCTGAAAATCTGATGGCCGCTAGGGAAACAGGGCCCTGCAGGGCTGGCTCACATTTTGTGACTCCCAAAGCTTGGAGAATTTTCAGGGCTCTCTTTAAGGAATATAATACACAATCATGAATACCTAAAGAACTACCCTTGGAGGTAGCCCAGGCAAGGGAGGGGGCCCTGAGCTTATTAGCTCCACGGTTTCGTCTCCTCTGCTGTCCGCTCTGTGCCTTCCATCTTGAAAGGACATCTTGGGCTTCCCAGTGTCTGCAGAGCAGAGAGCAGCGTGCGTGCCTCCCACATGCTGCTCTCTGCTTGTACTCTGCCACGGTCTATCTGGGCCACATAGAGCAGTAATTCCAACCACAGCTACAGAGAAACAGACAAGAAAAGGCAACGCAAAGAAGAAAATCATGGAATATGATTAGGCTAATTATTACAATGAGGCAGAAAGAAACTTTTGAGGGAGAAGGATTGTTGGGGCCAGAAAGCCAGTTGGGCTGTAAATAAAATTGGGAAATCAGTGCTTGGCGGCCCAACAAAGGAGTTCCCTTATGTTCACTTCATCTACTCTGGCCCCCTGCACCCCTTGAAGCGCCTTGATGGTGCCTCGTACTCCGGGCCCCAGCACTCTTTCTCTGCCTTAGATTCCTCTTGGGGTGAGAAGCACCCCTCCCCCAATGAGGGAAATCCTTGGGGAGAGCAGGGTTGGGGGTGAGGGTCTGGGGCCCAAACTCATCAAGCTGCTTGTTGGCAGGTCTGCAGCCCGGGACAGAATACAAGATCACCGTTGTTCCCATGAAAGGAGAACTGGAGGGCAAGCCAATTCTCCTGAATGGCAGGACAGGTAGGAGCAATGTAGAAGCACTGTGCCCACTTGTCAGGTTTGCTTTCTGATATTTTTCTTGGCTGACTCCTCTCTGGATAAGAACGCTGGGATTTGTATGTACTGACTTCTTTGTGTACTGACTTCTGTTTTGTGGGGCTGGGGAGGGGAAGGGAACTTTTCCTATTTGAAATGTGTCTTACCGTTGAAAATCTCCCCCAGGATCTTGGAGTCAAGGGGAAAGACGATTTCTGACACCTTTCTGCTAGTTTTATTAGCTTTTACAACTGGATTATTTTTATTCAGTATCTTGGACCGAGGCACACAGACCCCTATTACCTAATACAGGTGATCTGTAATTTTTTTTTCTCTTTATTCCTGTGTTTTTTCCTGATGATCACACGCAAACACTCTGGTTTAAAATGTCAGAAGATTTTAAAGACTCTCACATGGAAGCAGTGGTATATTTAACATCTGTGGATTGTGAAAACATCTATAGTGACAGATGTTATAAATTAGTAACATTTGATGATAGATTTGTCATTTCTGAATCGGAAAAGAATTCGAAATCTCTGTAGTCATATATGCAACCAATCCACGTAGCTCTGAGTTTTGAGCCAATGCTTCAGTCCGTGTGGAAAGGTGTGTCTCCTGCAATGGCAAAGCTCTTGCCACCCCAAGGTGGGAACCGGTGAGCTAGACGAGAATGCCACCGGGGGAAGGCTAGTCCTCGAAGCCGACCAAGAAGGGATCTTTGAATTTCGAGACTTTCTTGAAATGCATTTTAGTTCTTTTCTATTCCCTCTTGGCAGGAGCTGGCCAGGGTGGTGAGACCGTGCAGGAATGGAATTCGCTATTTCGGGTTGCCTAACAGATCGCATATCTGTAGTGTGAAAGCTAGAGTCAGACAGTTGTGAAAGCTAAGCTGTAACTTCATTTAGGAATGAGACAATACAGACTGTGCAGCCTGCCTGAGCAGTGGACGGGTGAAGACTTCGAGTGGGCTGGAAAATGGCAAGGGCTTCCTTGCTTCCGGTGGCTTTCTTGTTAGCTGTGAATTCACTGAGAATGTCCTATGCATCAGGCATTATGCGAATGAAGGACTTCTCATAATGGATCCCATTTAGTTCTTACGGTAACTGCGTGGTAGGTCCTACTATTATTTCTAAGTCACATATTAAAAAACAACACCTGGGAAGTTAAACTCAGGATCGCCTAGCCAAGGAATGACAGAGCTGGGATTTGAACGTAGGATATCCACTTCAGTGATCACAAAACTAAAGTGCCTCCTACTTTTACTTTTTCACCCATTGTTTCTGGCTAATTCTCCTACTCTTTACCTCCTAACTAGAAAAATGTCTTCGATTCCTCGTTGATTTAGGACAATGAGGAACCCCTGTATCTTGGCCTCAGTGGTTGTGATCATTTGGGCTGTTGTTCTCCTTACTCCTCCTTTTTCCAATGGAAAACATTCCTGCTCTTGGACTTTTCTTGGAGTTTCTTTTCTTTTCTTTTTGGAGAAGACTCCACACCCAGCATGAAGCCCAACACAGGGGTTGAACTCACAACCCTGAGATCAAGACCTGAGCTGAGATCAAGAGTCGGATGCTTAACCAACTGAACCACCCAGGTGTCCCTGTTGCTGGGGTTTCTTAACACAGAAGGCTCATGCCTGCATTATAGGTTCGTTCCTGTTCCACCAGCCTAGGAAACCCTCCACAGTTACCTCTAGCTCTCCATTAATTCAGCCGGGAATTCAATAATTCAAGCTATCAGTTAATTCAACAAAAACAAACTAATGGGCACAGATTAATGCTGGGCACTAGAGACATGCTCCCTCTAGATTCTTCCGAAGATGAAAAGTCCTGGTCCTTGCCTTTCAGGGGCTCATAGCAATAAGATCACTCATCCTTCCAGGCTCAGCTCCAACATTAGCCTCTCCACTGAAGCCATGTGGGACCACATTAAATAGCAACCGTTTTTGCCTCTGAGTTTTTAGAGCATTTAATCACACATGGCCTTGAATTGCTAGTTAACCTTTCAAGTATGTTATCCCAACTAGAATGTGAGCACTCAAGGAGTGTTTTTATTGTCAATTACATTCTCGAAGCATGATAGGATATTTTATTGGATAGCCAATAAATTTGTGTCATGTGTCCAATGAACATTAAAAAAAAAGACACAATCATTTCTGAGGTCAGGAAACACTTTCAAACCTGGCTAGACTGTTCATTCCTTTAACAGGGGAAAAAAAAAAGAGAATCTCTCTTTTCTCCAAATATTTTGCATTGCCTGAGATGGAAAAAGACACTGTAATCTAAGAACAGCATAACCATGTGCAGGAAAGAAATGACACAGTTCAGTTATTTTCCATTGAACAAGTCACTCAGGGGAACTAATCCACAAAAGGGAAGAGATCAATTGAAAATCCTCACCCTGCTAAGGCCCTCAGAGGGCACGGAAGCATCTTCTGGAAAGGCAAGGCTTCCGAAGCAGGTCAGCTTCAGAGCAGTAAGCATCAGCCAGCCCAGCGTCTTCAGGGGGAATGACCTTGAACTTCACTGCTGAACACTCCCAGCCATCCCACCTCCAACGACAGGAAGGGCAGGCCACTAACTAAGAGGTGATGCTACCCCTTTGTCCTCAGTTTCTCCATCTGTAAAAAGAGAGTTTGGACTAAATGAGCTTAAAGTCCTTCTTTTTTTTTTTTTTTTTAAATTATTGTTAGTGTTTTCATAACTTCCATGACTCATGCTTTTCCGTGGTGAGTCCGGAGCAAAGGACTGCTTGCTTTGTTAGAATCCCACCAGCTCCCATGCACAGCGGAACATACTCGCATACTCACGTGTTAACAATTTTTCGTAGAACGTTTCCTTTGACGGTGCCGTGAAATAGCAATTTTGCCTCTCTCTGGATCTTTTCCACTTTTTACCACCTTCTAGACACACTGCTGCATTTGAAGTGGCCCAGCCCCTAAAACTTTCCTTCTTCAGCTCCTTCATGTTGCAAGATGAACCTGTCAACATCCAGAGTTCCTGCCTCATACACAGTTGCCCACGTGCTCCCAATGGCTGAAAATACAACCATGATCTTCATCAACTGAGTACCTGCTGTATTCTAGGTACTCAGGGCTCCATACACATTATCTTTGGTCTTTACAATAGCATTCCACGCGTTATTATTCCCATTTTACATGGGAGAAAGTGGAAGCCCACAAAGTTTAGGAGAGTCAGGGTGAACCAGTGAATGGCATTTGAATGTGTTTGTTTGAGGTCAAATCTCAAGCTTTCCAGAAGCAAAGCTAGAGGAGAGCAGGAAGAGAGGTTGATCTCTGAACACTTCTCTACAAATAAGGCTTTCGGGATAATTTTATTACCACAGTGAAAGCAATGGGGTAGGGGGCTGAGAAAGCAAGGTGATGGGATGTATGGCTACTGTAGTCCAAAGGAAGGCCTCACTTTCCAGAAACTCACTTTCAAAATAGGGGCATAAAGCCCTATCCCCTGTCTTTGCCCCCAAGCCCATATCCCTGTAGATTTTAGATCCTGGCTGTGCCATTTTCCACTATGCCAACTGGGTGATTCAGAAGTAGCCACTGGGAATGGAGAAAGCTATTCTGAAGGCCTGTGGCCATGGGCTAGAGCAGGGACATGCGAGGCTGGTGTTCCAGCACAGACTGAGGACAGCCGTGCCCTCCCCAGCCTAGTGGCAGATCTCATTAAAAAGGGGAATAGACTTTCCTGATGTGCCTAGAGCTCTCCATTAGCCTCCTCTGTCCACTCAGTTTTGTCAATTAGATCTTCTGAAGAGGGGATGCCCTTTATTCTAACACATGCTGTGTAAAGGTCTACCTCCCAAGTCTTGTCTTACGTCTTTCTGACCTTCCGTGGCCCTCACAAAGGTCTCATCAGGGCAGCCTAGTGTCCAGCAGGTGGGAAGGAAGTTGAAACCTGGGAAGGAGAGCCTGTCTCCTCATCGAGGTTCCCGCAGTGACTCATCTGTGATTCAGCCGTCTGTCTGCAGCTACTGGGAGGCTTTGTTCCATGGAAAAACTGTTTCTGATCCCCACATCCCTTCTTGGCAGACGGGGAGGATTTGGCCCGCTCAGCTGGCTTCTTCCAGCCGTGTGGCCCACCATCGGGGTCCCATCACTGAGGCTGTCCTCTGGCTTCTGCATCTCGGTATATGGTTCCCATCCTTAGGGAATAGCTCCATGAGGACACTCCTTTTGGCTCAGGGTGTTGCTGTTAAGAGATTGAAAGAAAGGACAGAGTCCTGAGTTCCAGGCTGGCCAGGACTCTAACTGGCTTTATGACCTTGAAGAAGTCACATGGATGTCCTCTCTGGGCTGGGTCTCTGGAACCCTGGCATGGGAGGATTCTTATTCTTATCCTTCTTATTCTCCATCGCCAAGATGCCTTTCCTGGCCCTCCATTCCTCGAGTGCTCTGGGACTATTGAGGGAACAGGGTGTATCAGGGCTGGTTATGCTCACTTGGGCACAGTGGCTCTCGAGAGGGCTGCACACACACAGGTACCTGACCCCGCAGGGCGGAGGTCTGTGCTGTGTGTCCCGCAGCTATGGTGCTGAGCACTGATCTGGGCCAGGGAGGGCTAGTGGGGGGCACTGCTGGGACCATGGGGTGTACAGCTACAGGTCCCTTTGGAGACGATGAGGACCAGGGACTTTAAGAGGCAGGACTGTAGGGTGTTCCTGTCCTCATTGTCCCCGTCCTCACTTCCCATTCTAAATGTCCCCGTTCCCAAGTCAGCGCTGGTTTCCCAGATTGACATGTTACCTTGGGAGGCTCTCTTCATTCCCTCCCTGTCCTGTGCGGACTCACACTTTGCATAGAAAGGGGAACAGGGTGGGAAAGGAGTTCTCTCTCATGCACCCTATCCCCTGAGTATCCTCTGAGAGTTTGCTTGAGCCTCCAGAGGCCTGCGACGTGGCCCTGTTGTTTGCTCCTGATGGCACCGCCTGCTTAGCCCAGTGGGTCTCCCCAAAGCCAGAGTATAAGACTGTTTCCCTGTTCCAGCTGTCACTATGAGCTTCGGTCCCCTGCTGTGGCTGGATTCAGATTGCAGGAACCTTTCAGATCACACTTGATTTTATTTATGGATTGTTCTTATTTCTGTAAGAAAAGGCTGGTGGTAGTGCTGCATGGGACGTAGAAAGTGGAGATGCCTTCCACTTCCACAGTCTTCCACAGAGAGGAATGGTTCACATATTGGCACTTTAGGCGTCCAGTTGCAAATTCTTGGTCCCATTCTCCCCACCTTCTTCTTCAACCCCCCCGCCCTGAGCTCTCCATCTCTGTAAAGGGTCACCCCCTTCTGCAAATCGCTCAGGCCTCAAAATAACATGGAATGATGGAAGGATGGATTTGTGTCCCACATCAGCAACGTCAGCAGATTCTGACAAGTGTACGTTTGAAATCTCTGCAATCCAACCTTTCTCATGACTTTCATCCCTGACACATTGGTCCACATTCTTGCTTTCTCCCGCTGTGGGGGTGGCCTCCCAGGTGACTTCTACTGTCAACCCACTAGACCCCTACTCTCTCTGGCAGCCAGAGGGATCCTTGGATAATGCAGGTCAGATCATGCCATTCTTTAGTGCAAACCCCCCAGAAGTTTCTTATCTCATTCAATGCAAAAGCCACAGTCTTTGAAGGCCGTCCACAGTCCACTCACCCCTAACCTCCCAGGCCTGCCCTGCAGCCACTCAGCCCCATCACTGACTCTGTCCAGATGTTCTGACCTCTTGCTGTTCCCTTAATGTGTGGAGCAGGGCCTTTGCACCTGCTGCTCCTTCTGCCTAGAATGAGGTTCCTAGACTGTACATGGCCCACTGCCTCACTTCATCTCAGTCTCTGTTCAGATGTTCCCTTCCCAGCAAGCCAGCTCTTTCCTGACCTCCTTATCTAAACTCACAGATACCTTTTGTTCAACATTTCTATTCCTATATCTTGCCTTATTGGGCTTCCTAATACCATCACCACTTGTTTATCATCCATCTCCTTCAGGAAAATGTAAATTCCATAGGAGGGAGTCTTTATTCTGTTCATTGCTTATACAGTCGACCCTTAAACAACATGGATTGGAATGGCCGGGTCCCCACTTGTGTGCAGATTGTTTTCAATAAATATATGGGAAGTTTTTTTGAGATTTGTGACAATTGGGAAAAACCCACAGACAAACCAAGTAGCCTAGAGATCTTGAGAAAACTAAGAAAAAGGAGGTATTGTTGTAAGAATACAGTCTACGGCACATCTAACATACAAGATATGTGTCACTTGAATATTGTCGGTGAGGCTTCTGGTCAATGGTCAGCTATGAGTCACATTTTTAGTGAGTCAGAAGTTACAGATGGCTTTTGGACTGAGCAGAAGAATTGAGGGGCTTAATTCCTGCATTGTTCAGGAGTCAGCTCTATTGGTATCCTAGGGCTGCTGTAGCAAAGGACCAAAAAGTGGGTGGTTTAAAACAATAGAAATTTATTGCCTCCCAGTTGTGGAAGCTGGAGGTCTGAATTCGAGGTGTCTGCAGGGCCATGTTCTCTGACAGTTTTAGGGGAAAATCATTCCTCTCCTCTTCTAGCTTCTGCTATTTGTTGGCAGTCCTTGGCCTTCCTTGCCCTATAGATGCAGCGTTCCTGCCACATGGCTGGCTTCTCCCCATGCGTCCTCATATTGTCTTCCCTGTGTGTGCATCTGGCTCTGTGTCCGAACTCCCCCTTCTGTCAGGACACCTGGCATATTGGATTAGACTTACTCTAATGACCTCATTTTATTATTATTATCTTTTAAGATTTTATTTATTTATTTGACAGAGATGACAAGTAGGCAGAGAAGCAGGCAGAGAGAGAGGAGGAAGCAGGCTCCCTGCTGAGCAGAGAGCCCGATGTGGGGCTCGATCCCAGGACCCTGGGATCATGACCTGAGCCAAAGGCAGAGGCTTTAACCCACTGAGCCACCCAGGCACCACCCCTCTTTTTAAAAATAGGTTTCTTTTTTTCTTTCTTTTTTTTTTTTTTTGGACAGACAGAGATCACAAGTATAGAGGCAGGCAGAGAGAAGTGGGGAAGCAGGCTCCCCGCTGAGCAGACAACCTGATGCAGGGCTCGATCCCAGGACCCTAAGATCATGACCTGAGCTGAAGGCCAGAGGCTTAACCCACTGAGCCACCCAGGTGCCCTTAATGACCTTATTTTAAACTGCTCATCTCTAGAAAGACCTTATTTCCAAATAAGGTCACATTCTGAGATACTGAGGGTTAGCATTTTGACAGATTTTTTTTTTTTGCAGGGTAGGGTGGGGAACACACTTTAATTTATAACTGATTTAAACTGAATTCCCAGCTCCAACTAGGCATTCGAGGAATGTGTGTAGTATGTGTAAGTGACTTCATTTACTAGCCGAGTGACCTTGGGCAAGTCATCTAACCTCTCTGAGCTGGGTAGACAGTTAGTGCCTAAAACTGATCGCTATTATTAATTTTCCAAACTAGTACATGGGGCATCTGATAATGCCTTGAGTTATTACCATGAGGTTTGATAAAGTGATGTGTGGAAAGCACCTTGCATTTAGTATATGCTCAGTCAGTGACAGCTGATTTATTAAACAAGATATGCACTGCCTCGAGCGATGGAACTTGCACACAAGTAAGACACCGCCATTGTGCTCGAGGAAGGTAATTCTAGTCGACGTGAAAAAAGTTGTAACTTCTCTGCTGGAGAATCCTGAGCCAGGAGAACTAGAGTGGGATGGGAGGAAGCAAAACTGCTTGAATTTCTGGGAGTAAGAAGCTGTTTTGTGTGTCTTTACTCAAACGGATACAGCTCTACATGTGGGCAGGGTTCTTGGGGTACGCCTCACCTTTGTTCTGTAAGGGAGTTTTATCTGTGACCTTGATGGCTGCTTCTCTCAGCTGACTTACTTATTAGGTTTGTAAAGGATAAGCCAGAAAGGAAAATCAGCATGTTAAGTGAAAGACTAAATTATGAATGAAGTCGGTGAGGTAAACTATAACAAGAATAAATACTGGGTTCGGGAAATGTATTTTATATGCAGAAGGAGGAAGAGGAGGCTGAACATGAGGGTTCTCAACCTTTGATGTGCATCAGAATCACCTGCTGAGTTTTGCATATTTGTTTCTTTTTTGGCAGAGATGCCAGTGCATAGCTGAGACCTTCTGAAATGAACTCTCTGGAGTTGGTACTTAGTAGGTGCCCAGTGTGGACAAAGGTCGAGAACCCCTGGGTTAGCAGGGGCACGTGTGAAAAAGCGTAGGGATTTGCCAAGGCTGTGGGCTGAAGATAGGTTGTTGAGGAGTGTGGTGTTCAGGACACAGAGGACATGCTGTTCTGAGTTGGTCCTTCTAGAACATCAATTTTGCATAGCCAGGGAATTCTGCTTGTTGTGTTCACTGGTGACTCCTGAGTGCCCTTATGTTCCCTGGCGTGGAATGGATACTCAGTGAATTGTTGAACGATTGGACTGAGGTTTGGGGCTTTTTCCCTGATTAGGGAAAGAAAGAGGCCAGTCTAGATAGGTCAGGTCTAGAAACTGTAATTTGGAAGTTTGATATGATATGATACGGTATGGTATGGCATGATATGGTATAACACTGTAAAAACTAGTAACTTGCAAATGCATACATTGGAGTGGTGGAAGTGTTTTGATCAGAGGAGAATTAGGAGGGAGAGTGGTAACTATTCTTGAATACCTGCTGGAGGGTCTCCCAGAAGAGCATGAGGTGTATTCCGTGTACCTCTGGAAGGAGTTCCACTTCAGGTGGCTACGTTTGTGGGAACTGACATGTAACGTGCTCAGTGGTCTCAAAACGGAAGGGACTGTTGGTCCCTCAGGGAGCCCTTTCTCAGCGGAGGGTTCAAGCCGAGGCCAGTTGTCCAGCTATCACAGAGGACAGAGAGACGCTCTTATGGTGTGTGGACTATAGAACTAGGTCACCCGGATGAACTAGAGCTTGAAGCCACCATGACCTTGACCAACTACATGTCTTTCTCTAATTTTTCTTTCTCATATTTTCATGAAGAAATTGATAGCCCAGCCAATGTGGTCACTGATCGGGTGACAGAAGACACAGTGGTGGTCTCCTGGGTCCCCGTCCAGGCTGTCATAGATAAGTACGTGGTACGCTACACCTCTGCCGATGGGGACACGAAGGACACGGCCATCCCGAGGGAGCAGAGCAGCACCATTCTGGCAGGCCTGAAGCCAGGAGAGGCGTACAAAGTCTACGTGTGGGCTGAGAGAGGCAACCAGGAGAGCAAGAAGGCCGACACCAATGCCCTCACAGGTAACAGAGGGATGGGAGCCTAAAGAGGTTTCCTCATGGTGGGGAGAAGGCTGATTCGTGACTCAGGAGGCCATGTCTTTTGCTTACAGGGATGGGGAAGGGGGTTGCAAAAGCATTTTAAAATTTCACAATTATGATTTTTCCCATTTCATCCTCGAACAAAAGAAATCAGCCTTTTTATTTTACATAGAAGGTCATGCTTATTTGGGTTAGAATTCCATGTGCAACTCTCTCAGTGCAGAGTAACACTTCCTAATTTTCATTTTTTGGACGTTAAAACTCTGAACATTTGGCTGACAGTGAATTTGAATGCTTATCTCCGTTTGCAGAGGCCATACAGGCATTTGTTTATCATCTGGAACTCTCTGTCAGACCATGGAAATGGTTTGCATCCTGAGTCAACAGTCACCAAATGTACCGATTCTGCCTTGAAGCTTCCAGAAACCAGAAGGGTCCATCCCCAGACCTCACCTAGCTGTCCTGCTCAGCTTGGGCTTGTAGATGTCTTGAGGCAGCAGTGGGGTACATGTCCCAGACGTTGTTTCTGCTTAAAGCCTCCTTTGCTCCTGTCCCTGAATTCAGAGCACTCTCATCCTGGAGGCCGCTTGAGGTTCTGGACATTTGACAGGAAATCATAGAAAAGGAGTCACTTATCGATTAGGCTCTGTTCTGGACAATCAGTTAGTATAGAGACACTCAGAGAAGCCGATAATTAGTTAGGAATGTGGTTTCAGAAGCTTGACTGTCCACATTTTAATCCCAGCTCTGCCGTTTACTAGCTGAGTGGCTTTGGGCAAGTCCCTTCACCTCTGTTTCTCAGATTCTTGTCTATAAAAGAGGGCATGTGGGTTTTTACCTCATAAGGTTATTGGGAGGGTTCCATGAGTTAATTCAAGGAAGTGCCTGACACATAGCCCCACGCTACATGAGTGACAGTAGTGATTATTTCTTACGAGTCGTCTCCGTCAGCTCCGGCTGTTCTAACAGAATACCACAGACCAAGGGCTTCAGCCAAAGCAATTTAGTTCCCACAATTCTGGAGGCTAGAAAGCCCCATAATCAGGGTGCTGGCTGATTCGGTTCCTGGTGAGAGCCCTCTTGTTGGCTTTTAGGTGGCTATCTTCTTCCTACACTGTTGCATGGTGGAAAGAAGCTCAGGTCTCTTCCTATCAAGGCATTGATGCCATCATGGGGAGACTTACCCTCATGACCTCATCAAACCTAATTATCTCCCCAAGGTCTCACCTCCAAACACTAGCAAATTGGGAGTTAGGGCTTCAACATAGGAGTTGGGGGGGCACACAAACATTCAGTGCATAGCAAATGTTAATCAGCATTCAGCCCTCAAAGCATTTCGTGGCGTGGAGCCTCCTGGGCTGGGGTGGGCCTTATCTTCTCCAGGGGAAGGAGAAGCTGCCCGTAAGGATGGTGAGACCTAGGTTGGTTTAAAGGCAGGGTCAGCCCTTTCTGTGAGTGGCCAGAGAGGCCATATTCTCAGCTCTGCCATCGAGATGTGAAAACAGCCATAGATAATATGTAAATGAACCTGTAAGACTGTGTTCAATAAAACTTCATAAGAGAAGGCTGTGGGTCAGATTCGGCCCATGGGTTGTAGATGGCTACCTCCTGGTTGCTGTTACACGAGGTTTTCCCTTTGGTAGGATTTTGAGTGTTGTGAAAAGGAAGTGCGGGGGTCAGTCTTCATAAGATAGTAGAAGTTTGAATAGTGAAGAAGCTTCCCCTCTCTCGTGGGGGTGGTGTCAGCTAGCACCCCAGATTATGGGGAGCCCCTGGGATGGGGCATTGCTGGCACTGTCAGGCACAGAGCCAAGCTCTTGGGGTGCAGATACGAAAGACCTAGTTCACGCTCATGGCATTCACAACTGTCCGGGTAGAGAAGACAAGCAGAAAAGATAAAGGGCCATGAGTTATGTCTTTCTAGAGCCCACAAACATCCCTGGAGCTATGGGAACCAGGAAAAAGGGTACTTAGGACAGACTGGGATGGGAGAGGGGTCATGGCAGGCTGGAGGAGGCAGAGACACCTGAGCAGAGTCTGGGTAGATGGGTGGGCGTGAGCAGTGGGAGCAGCATATGTAAAGGCTTAGAGTATAAGAATAGGACAGGGTTTGTTTTTTTTCTCTTCTCTTAATATGGAATTATCTTAATAATCATTAAGTGGTGTTGATGGTGGCCGGGTCCATGAGGGTGGAGTAGTGAAGGATGAGAAGCCAGAGCGAAACTCCTCCCTGTCCCCTGTCCCTAGCACTTTCCGAACTCTCTGCTTCCTGAGGTGAGCTGCCTCCCTTGGGTGTGCCTCCCCTCACCCCCGCGACCTGGCTGTGCACATCCAGCGATAGTGCATAGGCTGGAAATGTGGTTGCTGTCACGGAGAGCTCAGCCATTTGAGGAGGTGGCTCTTTTGAATATTATTTTTTTTTATTTTTTAAAAAGATTGTATTTATTTATTGGACAGAGTCAGCGAGAGAGAGAATACAAGCAGGGGGAGTAGCAGAGGGAGAAACAGGCTCCTGGGTGAGCAGGGAGCCCCACCTGAGCTGAAGGCAGATACTTAACCACTCAAAGGAGCCACCCAGGTGCCCCCGAGGCGGTGGTTTTTGAAACAGGACTATAAAGGCATGCTAATCACCCACTTCTGCTTGGATTTCCACCTCCAGGGGTTCACATTTTAAGGAGAAAGGGGTATTTCAGGCCTCAAATGGCACCTGCAATAACAAAGAGCCTATATTTAAGCATTTACCATGTGAATATCTCACTCATGATTTGCCATAAGCTGTGAAGTACACACTGCTCTTTCCTCCTTCCTGGAGGTGCGGGGACCCAGAGGTAAGGTTTATAGTCTGCCCAAGTTAGCAACTAGGAAACACTGGAGCCCGGATTCCAACCCAGTTTAACTGCATAGAAGCCCAGACAGATTCTGCAAGTAGGATTATTTTTATCCTCCCAGACCTCAAATCCCATCAATTTAAGTCTTCTGGTTCTCTGGCCTCAGACATAATGTTTTATGTGGAAAGAACTGACAGCTCCTACTTCCAGGATATTTTTCTTCCCAAAGAAAATACTAGAGCTGACGCAGAGATTTACTGAAATATAATTGCTTTCAGGTAGAAGGAGTCAGGAACTGAAAGAGTGTATTATAAAAATCCAGGGTAAAGGTAAATTTCTAATTTGTATATGAAGACCATTTTTTTTTTAATCCAAAGGCTACTTATGGGTAGAGTTTATAGAGCTGAGACCATTTTGGCTTTGTCTGAAAATGCCACATTTCATTAAGTGCTATTGGAATTTCAGACCACTTGCTTAATTAAACCCTTAAGTTATCCCAATCACTGGCATAGAACAGACTCTGAAATGTGTCGAGATCATCATTTTGTCTGTGTATGTGCTGGCCTTATAGGAACTAGAGAGTTGGTAAATGCTACATTCTTTCATCTCTCTTCAAGAAATTGACAGCCCCACAAATCTGGCCACCGACCGAGTGACAGAGGACACAGCCACCGTCTCCTGGGACCCAGTGCGAGCCATCATCGACGAGTATATGGTGCGCTACACCTCGGCTGATGGCGACACCCGGGAGGTGTCCGTGGGGAAGGAGCAGAGCAGCACCGTCCTGACGGGCCTGAGGCCGGGTGTGGAGTACACGGTCCAGGTGTGGGCCCAGAAGGGGGACCGGGAGAGCAAGAAGGCCGACACCAAGGTCCCAACAGGTAACTAGAGAAAGGTGGTCAATCGCAGTTGAATTTTGAGCCTGTGGATGTGAGTGTGCGTGGTACCAAAGATGTGCTTTGAGATGAGGGACTTTGCAAAGAGAGTCCTAAAGATCAAAAAGGACAGTGAGCTCTCGTGGTGATCTCAGTGCGCCGAGAGCTGGTAGCCATCATTCGGCCTGGTAGTGATGATCTGCTCACGAAGCCACTGAACCCACTAGAAGGGAGAGGCGAAGTTGCATGGTGGCCCTGTGCTCAGCAGACTCAACGGAGATGTTACAGGCCTTGACCACTGCAGGGCATGTGATAATGTTTTTAGAGTGACTGGCTCTGAAATAGCCCTTGAGAAAACGATACGTTGGCTTCCCTGAACATCAGGGCAGACGTTTAATCATGGTTTTGATGCGCCATCATGTTGCTAAGAAGATGTCATTCCTTCCACATTTGGGGGAGTGGAAAGCCAAGAAAATATGTGAAGTTTGCAATGCATAGTCTTCTGAAATTGGGAGCCAGGGGTTACTTTCTCCCTTGACTCCCAGCCGACTCCGGATGGGGATACTGTTCCCTTGTGGGAAGAGAGTCCTAGAAGATGAAAATGACAGTGATGGGCTGTGGGTATCTCTTCCATGGCTTCCAAGCTTAGGCTTTTCCAAATACTTTTTTTTATATTTAAGAAATTGACAGCCCCCAAAACCTGGTGACCGACCGAGTGACAGAGGACACAGCCACCATCTCCTGGGACCCAGTGCGAGCCGTCATTGACAAGTATATGGTGCGCTACACCTCGGCCGATGGCGACACCCGGGAGGTGTCCGTGGGGAAGGAGCAGAGCAGCACCGTCCTGACGGGCCTGAGGCCGGGTGTGGAGTATATGGTCCAGGTGTGGGCCCAGAAGGGGGACCGGGAGAGCAAAAAGGCTGACACCAAGGCCCCCACAGGTAAGGGAGCTCACATCATCACTGTGTCACTGCTGAACTCATCATCTGTGTCAGTTGGTTTTCCTTCTGTGACTTTGGCAGAACGTGAGGTTCTGGTGTCTTTGCAGAGTCCACATGTACCCCTTACTTCGATTTCATGGCTTCTCTTAGAATGCGGAGCTCATGGGGTGCCTGGGTGGCTCAATGGGTTAAACCTCTGCCTTCAGCTCAGGTCATGATCTCAGGGTCCTGGGTTTGAGCCCGGCATTGGGTGCTCTGCTCAGCAGGGAGCCTGGTTCCCCCCTCTCTCTGCTTGCCTCTCTGCCTACTTGTGATCTCTCTCTCTCTGTTAAATAAATAAATAAAATCTTAAAAAAAAAGAATTTATAGCTCATCTTGTCTTCAAACTTTGGTCTTTAAAGACTGATATGATTACTCAGAGTTCTTTGTTCTCTGCTTGTGCATCTTCTGTGCTCTGAACACAGTGAATGCTTCCCTGATAAGGAATAAATACAGTGGAAAGCCCAAGTGCCCGCGCTGTGGAGGGAGCCTGACTGTGAGCCTGAACATGCTTTGTTTTCCCTCCTTACTGTTGAAACACTTTCTGTGGAGCTTGTTCTCTGTTTCTGCCTTTGGATGAATGTTTTAGGCAAAAATAATAACCATGTTTTATTAGCTAAAAATAAGCAAATACCTGATCACTTTTAGTTCCCATCATGTATCATTTTAGTAATTATCCATACTTCAATTATTTATTTTTTTAATTTTAATTTTTAAAAAATTCTATTTATTTATTTGACAGAGAGAGACACAGTGAGAGAGGGAACACAGCAGAGGGAGTGGGAGAGGGAGAAACTGGCCTCCTGCTAAGCAGGGAGCCCAACGCGGGGCTTGACCCCAGGACCCTGGGATTGTGACCTGAGCCGAAGGCAGACGCTTAATGACTGAGCCACCCAGACGCCCCCCATACTTCATTTAAAGTTAAAGATTCTTCCCACCATCTGCTTGGGCCATTGGCAAGCTAGCTGCCTGCCCTGGGAAGGGGGTGCGCTCAGCTTCTCTTGTATTTCCCTTCTGCTACTTCAGGCCCCCCCTTCCAGCACACTAACTGTGATTTCTGACCTGTGTGTTTGACACAGCTTGGAGAGAGATCAGGGCTCAGGAGGAGGAGAGGTAAGGTGTCTTACTTGACTATGATGGTCACAGCTGCCCCGGGCCTGTCGTGGGTCCTGATGAGTGTTAAAGCTAACGTTTTCCCTCATGGAGCACTTCTGCATGTTCTTTAGCTGCCCTCCTCCACTCCAGTGTTTGGTCCTAGTGATCCTGTCGGCAGATGTGTCTCTCCTGCCAGTTACCTGCTCCCTTTCTTCCACCTGCACGCATGGGGGTGCACTCCAGTGCCTTTCTTGGGGGGTTCACCTTCTCCATCTGCCTGAGCCTCTTGGACAGCTTCTAAAACCATCCCTGATGGGCCCTTCTTTCCTTGGCTCATGTTGGGTCCATGGGGAACATGCATCACCCTTTTCCCATTCACCCGGATGTACCACCCTTTTGCAACAGCTTTCCATCGCTCTGCGCCAGAGCAAACAGCCATTCTCTCTCCTCTTAGATATTTTAGGCCCATGTCAGACACCAGCTCATGGTGTTCCCCAAGTTGTGGGCAGACTTTCTCAACCTGGATGCTACTAAAATTTTTGGCTGGATAATTCTTTGTTGCTGGGGTCCGTCTTGTCCACTGGAGGCTGCCTCTACCCATTAGACACCAGGAGCCTCCCCATCCCAAACTGAACTGTGACCAAGTCAGTCTCAAGACCTTGCCAGTCATTCCTCGTTGAGAATACTTGCTCCAGGACATGCATCACCAGCTCTGTAAGGGATCCCATTGCAAATGGTTATTCGAGGTTTGGGTCTCACCCATGAAGCTCACAGTGTAATTCCACCCAAAGAAATCCACTCTTGAAGTCCCATCTCTTTGGCCTCTCCAACCTCTCTCTCTCCTTTTTTTTTTTTTTTTTTTATGATTTTAATTATTTATTGGCTGGGGTGGGGGTAGTGAGCACAAGCAGGGGGAGCAGCAGACAGAGGGAGAAGCAGGTTCCCTGGTAAGCAAGGAGTCCAGTGTGGGACTCCATCCCAGGACCTCAGGATCATGACCTGTGTCAAAGGGAGATGCTAAACCAATTGAGCCACCCAGGCGTCCCTCCAACTTCTTTTATAGTCTGGAGATGGTTGGTCAGCCAAGGGCCACAAGACTGTTGGTCCTGCCTTGGCTGTGGGCTGTCAGGTTGGAATGTAGATTCTGCTTTTCTTGGGGTCACATCCCAAGCCAGGGTAAGAGAGACCTGCTTGATCATACCACTGCACATCTGTGACAGGACCTAGAAGCAAGGATTTTAGGGAAATGACTTTTGCAATGAACTATTTGGAATGAAGACATGCTGTTACTTTCTTGGTGACTCCATTTTTGAATACCTTCTTGTGTGCATGGTGTGGGGGAGCATAATCTTCTTCATTCATAAACTATCAACAGGGTGAGATCATTAATAATAGCTAATGGTCATTGGGCATCTAGTCTGCACCAAGAACTGTCATAAAGGGCAAATTATTATTACCTCATTTAATACAGCAAGTCTCCAGGATATACATTAACGTTATCTTGCTCTGCCTTTTCTTTTCTATAGACACTAATATTCAATATTTTCAGCCCCCTTTTACATGATACTTTTTGTCTTGGTTTTCAAAGCCACCCAGCAAGATATGTACAATAGTGCAATTGTATTTTATAAATGTAGAGAAGTGAGGTGACTTACCCAGGGTCATGAAACAAATTAGTAATTTATGAAATTAGGTGTACATATGGAACATTAGTGCTCAAAGGAACTTTAAAGTCTATCCAACCTCAACCCCAGATTTATAGATGATAAGGCTGAGGCCCAGCCAGAGGCAGCTGGGATGTGCATGGTCATAGATATTCTGACTCTGGATCTGGTGCTCATTCTACTGTCTTGTGCTGCCTCCTTGAGGATCCCAAGAATCCAACCATGGAAAGAAGGTCAATGTCCATGAAACAACTGAAAACTAACATAGGAAATGGGAAAAACACAAGAACAGTAAACTTCCTCCCTGCAAGGAACATGGTCTCACTCTTTGGTGCTTGTTAATAGTTCACTTTAACTTTCCTTTCAGACATTGACAGCCCAACAAACCTGGTGACTGACCGGGTGACAGAGAACACAGCCACCATTTCCTGGGACCCGGTGCAGGCTGTCATCGACAAGTATATGGTGCTCTACACCTCGGCTGATGGAGACACCAGGGAGGTGTCTGTGGGGAAGGAGCAGAGCAGCACCATCCTGACGGGCCTGAGGCCGGGTGTGGAGTACATGGTCCAGGTGTGGGCTCAGAAGGGGGCTCAGGAGAGCAAGAAGGCTGACACCAAGGCCCTAACAGGTAATGGAGCATTGTTCTTGGAGAATGTAAAGCCTAAGCCTATGGCTGGTCAAGTTTTGTGTTCTTGCTTTGACACCAACAGACTAGATGGTTTATGAAAGGGCAGGATGGTGTCCCTTCATAAGAGACAGCAGACACCATCCTTCTTCTTCCCTTTACACATCATCTCAAACTCAGGAGCTTACCCGTGGCCTCATACTTTGGTCTTAGAAAGAAAGATAAATGGTGATTGGGCCCATCTACTCACCATTCCTCTGATTTGTGTTCAATCATTGAAATGTTTCTACTTGAAAGAGAAAAGATAGGAAGAAACCATATATGTTAAGATCTGTGAGCCTAGTACTTTAGGGAAATGGTTTTTGCTCTGATCTCTTTGGGATAAGGAAGGGTTATTGTTTTCTTAGCAGGTAAATCCTCTCTGGAGGATGGTGTGCTCTGTTCTGGGGATCCTGAGGTTGCACTTACATACTGTGTTCATTTATAATTTGTAAAGCTCTTTCATCTCACTTTGCTCATTTTTAAAGAAGGTTTTATTTATTTATCTTAGAGAGAGAGGTGGCAAGGGAAGGAGCAGAGGGACAGGGAGAGAATCTCAAGTAGACTCCACACTCAGCATGGAGCCTGATGCGGGGCTCCATCTCGTGATCCTGCAGTCAGGACCTGAGCTGAAATAAGGAGTTGGACACTTAGCTGACTGAGCCACTTAGACGCCCCTTCTCATTTTTTTTTAGAGAGTACATTTATTGAGATATAATTTATTTTCCATAAAATGTCATCTTCTAAAGCATAGAATTCAGTGGTTTTTGGTATATTTACAGTTACATGGCTATTACTAGTATCTAATTCAGAAGATTTTCATTACTCTGGAAAGAAATTCCTTGTCCATTAGCAGTCCCACCCCAACTGCCCCCAGCCTAGGAAACTACTACATTCTGTCTATAGAGTTCCTCATTTTGGACATTTCATATAAATGGATCCATACAACCTGTGACTTTTTACGACTGGCTTTATTCACTACATGTAATATTTTCAAGGTTCATCCATGTTGTAGCATGTCACCACTTTATTTTTTTTGCCAAATAAAATTCAACTGGATGGCAGTAACATGTTGTGTTTATCTGTTTGTCACTGATGAGCATTTGGGTCGTTCCTGCTTTTTGGCTGTGGTGAATAAGGATACTATGAGCATTTGCATACAGATTTTTGTGAGGACGTGTTTCAGTTGTAGGAGTGGAATTGCTGGGTCACATGGTGACTCTATATTTAACCTTTTGAGGAATGGCTAAAATGTTTCCAGGATGCTGGCACTATTTTACATACCCACCAGCAACAAAGGATGGTTGTCTTCCTCATTTGCTTGGTCCTCTGAGGCTTTTGGTGAGATGGGTAGCTCAGAGATCAATATCCCCATGTTACAGTTCAGAAACATCCAATACAGAGAAATAAATAATTTTTGAAATTAGCTGATAACTCATGAGTCAGATTTATGGAATATTCATGGAATATTATGGTAACTTAATACCTAGATAGTAAGACCCATATTTTACAAAGAAGGAGTTGAGGTTCAGAGCTAGCTGTCCAGGGCCACAGCTGGTGAATGACAGGGCTGGGCCTAGATCCCTGGTCTGTTGCTTCCGCTCTGGGCTTTTCCTGTCCCTGTGCTCTGCTCTCTGGGCTGGAAGAGAACCTTGCTCTTCTGACTTTGGATCTAGTGCTTATTCTCTTGTCATGTGCTGCCTCCTTGAGGATCCAAGAGTCTAACTACGGAGAGAAGGTCTACCTTCATGAAACAACTGAAAACTTACATAGGAGATGAGAAAAACATAAGAACAGGAAACTACCTCCCTGCAAGGAACATGGTCTTACTCTTTGGTGCTTGTTGATAGTTCACTTTAACTTTCCTTTCAGACATTGACAGCCCAACAAACCTGGTGACTGACCGGGTGACAGAGGACACAGCCACTATCTCCTGGGACCCAGTGCAAGCCATCATTGACCAGTATATGGTGCGCTACATCTCGGCTGATGGCGACACCCGGGAGGTGTCCGTGGGGAAGGAGCAGAGCAGCACCGTCCTGACGGGCCTGAGGCCGGGTGTGGAGTACACGGTCCAGGTGTGGGCCCAGAAGGGGGACCGGGAGAGCAAGAAGGCCGACACCAAGGCCCCAACAGGTAACTAGAGAAAGGTGGTCAATCGCAGTTGAATTTTGAGCCTGTGGATGTGAGTGTGCGTGGTACCAAAGATGTGCTCTGAGATGAGAGACTTTGTAAAGAGAGTCCTAAAGATCAAAAAGGACAGTGAGCTCTCGTGGTGATCTCAGTGCGCCGAGAGCTGGTAGCCATCATTCGGCCTGGTAGTGATGATCTGCTCACGAAGCCACTGAACCCACTGGAAGGGAGAGGCGAAGTTGCATGGTAGCCCTGTGCTCAGCAGACTCAACGGAGATGTTATAGGCCTTGACCACTGCAGGACATGTGATAATGTTTTTAGAGTGACTGGCTCTGAAGTAGCCCTTGAGAAAACGATACGTTGGCTTCCCTGAACATCAGGGCAGACGTTTAATCATGGTTTTGATGCGCCATCATGTTGCTAAGAAGATGTCATTCCTTCCACATTTGGGGGAGTGGAAAGCCAAGAAAATATGTGAAGTTTGCAATGCATAGTCTTCTGAAATTGGGAGCCAGGGGTTACTTTCTCCCTTGACTCCCAGCCGACTCCGGATGGGGATACTGTTCCCTTGTGGGAAGAGAGTCCTAGAAGATGAAAATGACAGTGATGGGCTGTGGGTATCTCTTCCATGGCTTCCAAGCTTAGGCTTTTCCAAATACTTTTTTTTATATTTAAGAAATTGACAGCCCCCAAAACCTGGTGACCGACCGAGTGACAGAGGACACAGCCACCATCTCCTGGGACCCAGTGCGAGCCGTCATTGACAAGTATATGGTGCGCTACACCTCGGCCGATGGCGACACCCGGGAGGTGTCCGTGGGGAAGGAGCAGAGCAGCACCGTCCTGACAGGCCTGAGGCCGGGTGTGGAGTACATGGTCCAGGTGTGGACCCAGAAGGGGGACCGGGAGAGTAAGAAGGCCGACACCAAGGCCCCAACAGGTAATGGAGCATCAAGAATGGAGGACTAAGCCTATGGCTGGTCCAATTTGTTTTCTTGCTTTGACACCAGCAGACTAGATGATTTATGGAGGAGCCGGATTATGGAGGATCGTGTTCCTTCATAAGAGAATGCACACACCCTCCCTCACTTTCCTTTAACTCATTTCCTTACAAGTCAGATCCAAGCGGGAGTTTCAAGCTCCAGTTTTGCCACGATTGGATGGTCTTGCCCCGTGACTCTTTCTCTGAGTGCATGAATATTTCATTGTGCACAGTATAAAGGGTCTCTCATTGTGTTTTAGTGAGAACAGAAGATGAAAATCAAAAGTTAATGATAACATTTGGAAAATTCAACTTTGAGAAATAGACTTTACATCTAGCAGAGCAAGTAGATATGTGTGGTGTGCTTTGGCATGAATGAGTCGTGGTAATTCTGGTTTAAAGGATAAAGGCAACATCTGTGTTCTATTCTGAATCGATTGTGAAAGAACCGTGAGGCCATATTTCTCTAGTGATTTAACCAGCGAACCCGCATTACAAGTGCATCCACAGTATGTAAAGCATATTAAAACTGGTTTTCAATGGGCTGATTCATTTAAGAAGGTATGTTGTACATTTACCTTGTGCTCTGTTCTCTACAAGGCTGTGGGAACCCTGAGCGGAATAGGAGGTGGACCTCTGCCTCTAGGAGTTGACATGTGCCTCTGGCTATTAGAATCATCTTGTATGTAATCAGAGGTCTTTGTTGACATGATTCTAGAAACAAAATTTTTACTGCTTGTGAGCATGGGCTGTGTCTTCTTCCACTGGGCCCTGTGCACTACCTAACACCAGGACTTGTACCTAGTGGGAGTTGGACATTCGCTTACTAAGTAAATAAGGAAATTTGTTTTATTAAATTCTTAGTGGAGGTGATAGTGTAGATCTGTAGATTGTGGCTTACTGTGCTTTCTTCTTGGGGAGTCAAAGTCTGCCTCGGGAGAGGACGTCTCACTGAAGCAGTCAGGGCATAGGTCATGGGGAAATCACAAGACTCAGAAGAGTATCACCCCAAGAAAAATGACCCCGAGGTTCTTTACTATACTATACTGTACTATTAATAGTGCACGTTGATCGGTACTTTTCCTTTTAGACATTGACAGCCCCAAAAACCTGGTGACCCACAAGGTGACAGAGGACACAGCCACCATCTCCTGGGACCCAGTGCGAGCCGTCATCGACAAGTATATGGTGCGCTACACCTCGGCCGATGGCGACACCCGGGAGGTGTCCGTGGGGAAGGAGCAGAGCAGCACCGTCCTGACGGGCCTGAGGCCGGGTGTGGAGTACATGGTCCAGGTGTGGACCCAGAAGGGGGACCGGGAGAGCAAGAAGGCCAACACCACGGCCCTGACAGGTAACAGGAGGGAGGAGAAAAGAGACTCAGGTCCTCACCGCAGGCTGCTCTATTGTTGCCGAATGATGCCACTTCTGCTTTTGGGGTCTGGGACTCAGGGACGGTTTTAGGTAAGTTTGCCATAGAAAACCTCATTCACTTAAAGAAAAATCAAAGTATAGTCACAGACTCTGTACTGAGCAGGCCTGTGAAGGTCTTAAAACTCTTTGCCAAGCCTGTGCTCCTCAAAACTGTGGGTTAGAGAATTGTTCTGTGACAAGCTGTTTTGCATAGGTCCAACTTGATGAATAGTGCGCAGCTTAGAGGAGCAAGTGTGACCTTGGGAGGTTGGAGCTCTGTGTTCATTTCAGGTGTTGACGAGCATCTTCTCATGGCAGGCCTAGGATACAGCGGCCAACAAAACAAGTATTCCTACTCTCTTAAAGTCCAGTGGGAAAGACAGGTGATCACCAAGCAAAGAAACTTATAACCATAAACTATGGTCAGTTCTATGAAAGAGGTGAACATGGTGCAGGTATAAAGAATTACAGGGCAGGCATGCTTCTTAGAAGGGATGGGATGGGTAATAGTTAAGATCCACATAGACAGGAACATCCAAAGAGCATTTGCCTAAACAAGAGAGAAGTTTATTCTTGTGGAATAGTTAGAGGGTAAGTGGGCCAGGCTGGTACGGTGAGTCCATGGCACGGGAGAGCCAGACTCCTCCTGTATTGCCGTTCGTTCATCCATGGGGCGTCACCTCCATCCTCTACTCTCCTCCCCCCATTCCAGCAGTGGAAAGGGAAGGGCAGAACCGGAACATTGCCCACATTCTTCACTTTTCTCCATTCTTGGCCAGATCCAAGTCCCAGCACCAGACCTCCCTCCCGGAAAGGCTGGGGAGTGAAGTCTTCAAGTGGACGGTCATGTGTCCAGCCTCCACTTCTGTTCTGCTGCCCCGTCCAACACAGTAGCCGCTGGCTGCATGGGCCTCCTTACATGTTAACTAATGACAAGTAATTAAATGATTTGCAGAGTTGTACTAGCCACATGTCAAGTGGTCAGTAACCACATCGGTTAATGGCCGCTGAATTGGACAGTGCAGGGTAGTTCCATCATTACACAGAGGTCCATTGGACGGTATGCTCATGGAGGAAGGGGAGAATGGATGGTGGGGAGAACTCACCATTTCTGGCAACGGAAAGGGTGTGTGTGATGGCCCTGAGCTGGAACAGCTAAGATGGTTGTAGAACTGAGAGGGGCTGGTGGGCTGGAGCAGAGAGGGTGAGAGGGGAAGTGGTGTGGGATGAGGGGTGGAGGAGGCGGGGTCACTCACACAGGACCGCACGGTGCCTGCAGGAGGGAGCGTGTCGTATTCATCAGAAGAAGAGCAGCGTGATGTGGCGTTTGTTTAAAAAAGTTTATTCAGTCCACAGTGAGGGGAATCCATGGAGGACAGGACAGGAGTAACATCAGGAAAGTTAGTGAAGAGTCTAGTATAAAATCCGGGCGAGAGGGGACAACAGCCATTGTGAAAGAGGAGAGGGGGCTATCTGGGTATAGATTTTGGAGGCGTAATGCCAGTATTTGTTGATGGATGAGATGTGGTGAGGGAAGAAAGTGAACAGATATGACCCGTATTTCTGGCCTGAGCAACAAGGAAGGCTGGGGCAACATTTTTTGAGGGGAGCCTGAGAGGTAAGTAGGCTCAGGGAGGAATGGGAAGACTTTGAGGTTTAAACTGGAGAAGCTGGTGAGATTCCTTGGTTGAGTGAGTGACTTTCTTATTGACTCCACAAATACCAGTCACGTGTCCGGTACATATGAGGCGCCGTGGTAGAAATGCGGTTGTAGGTGCAAGATGGGGGGTCACGGATCGGGGAGCTGAGGGCATTGGTTGGTGTGCAAAGCCACAGCCATGGTTGAGGTCTCTTAGGGAGAAGTGTAGAGAGGTGGTCATCCAGGTTCTAATGAAGACGACCCAGGAAGGGTCAGACAGTTGGGAGAAAACCAGGGAAGGGTGTGTTCATGGAAGTCAAGAGCCGAGAGTGTTTTAAGACAGAGGGAGTGGATCCGCTCTGTCGGATGCTGCTCAGAAGTCCAGTAAGATGAGAATGGCGAGCGTCCATCAGATTTGGCAGTGGGAAGCTGGGGGTGACGAATCCTAGCGTTCTAGTGGCGTGCTGGGGAAGAGTGCCAGACCTCATTGATCAAGGATCGAACGGGAGAGGAGGAGCGAAGTGAAGGCGAACCTCATTCTCATGAGAAATCTGCCAGTTAACGGGTCAGAGGGGCAGGAGGTCCTAGAGCCTGTGGTCTGGGAACGACGATCGAGGAGAGACCAGGGGTGCTGGCGAGAGCGCGGACGAAAAGGAGAAAAGTCCTTCAGAAGGTGGGAGGCTTCACGAGTCAGAGCAAAGAGGGGCTTGTCGGGGTTTTATCACGGAAAACAGCAGGACCTGGGGCAAGACTTTTCATTTCTCTGGGCCTCCATGCTCCCCTTCGATCAAAGGCAAGGAAGGTTGAAGATCTGATTTCTCAGCTCTGAGAGTCTGTGAAACCGAATAACCAGATCCCATGGAGGTAACGAAGAGGCGGTTTCAACTGCTGTTTGGGCCTCTTCTCTTGTGGCTCAGGAGACTTTTTTTGGTTACTTCTGTGGAAACGAGAGAGACAGGAAATTTCCATACTGATGAACTTGCTGAAGATCTAATTCCTCTCAGTTGTAATATCCAGTGGTTGGTTTCCTTGGAAAATGGAAACTAGGGGCCTTTCACGCCTGTTTTCAATGGAATTGTATCATTATTAAAGATAATTTGAATGGAGGGCTCCTGGCGATGGGGTGGTGGGATGGCCTCCCTCAGGCTCTAAAATTCGGACTTTCCTTTTTAAAAAGAAATTGACAGCCCCCAAAACCTGGTGACCTACCGGGTGACAGAGGACACGGCCACCATCTCCTGGGACCCAGTGCAAGCCGTCATCGACAAGTATATGGTGCGCTACACCTCGGCTGATGGCGACACCCGGGAGGTGTCCGTGGGGAAGGAGCAGAGCACCACCTCCCTGACGGGCCTGAGGCCGGGTATGGAATACATGGTCCAGGTGTGGGCCCAGAAGGGGGCCCGGGAGAGCAAGAAGGCCGACACCACGGCCCTGACAGGTACTGTGAGGACCTGGGGACAAGGAACCGTGTATGTCCATCAGGACAGTCTTCCTCCATACCTGGGGGTGCAGAGGGGAACAGGGGAGGGCAGCGGCTTCACCTGAGGCATTCCTCAGAGGGGTTTCCTCTTCCCCCCTCTGAGGTACTCTGCCGGCCAGACGGCTCTGATTAAGAAGGTGTAGAGGAGACAGTGTGAAAGGCAGCCGGTGCGGCTCTTCCAGGTGCTTGTGCAAACGTAGCCTCCCTCGCATTCCCCTCCACACTGCCCAGCTCCCAGGCTCTCTTCCTGGGCTTTCGAACCCGTTTGGCCTCAGCCCCAGTTTGGAGAAGAGGGAGGCTGGGAAGCCCTTCTCTTTTCATCCCCCTTGCTGGGACCTGGGAAGCTCACTGGGCCCTCCCTGACGTCCTTGGGCCTCTGGGGACGGTCTGGGCAAGGCCTGGCCGTCCCCCCTTTGGCGGGGTACATCGTGTGTGGCCACTGGAGTTAGAGGGTGTCTTGAATTTCTTTATCAGTTACAATTAGCAGGGGTTTTTAAATAAAAGAAAGTAAAGTATACTGATGGTAAAAATTTTCAAACTAAAGTGTATAGAAAGAAAAACTCCCTAATGCCCAGTGCGGGTCTCTAGGGGTAATTAGTCGCTTTCTCCCTCTCTCTCTCTCTGTCTGTCTCCCTTGTCTCCCTTGTCCCTTTCTTCCTCTGTTCCTTCATTATCTTCTCTTCCTTTCACTCTTGCCATTTTTAAAGGCAACAATATCACCATCTTTCTGCTTCAGAGAAACATGGAAATAACCAAGGCAGAGCTCTCAAGCCTGGGTGGGCAGTCAGAGCAGTAACAGAGGCCAGCTTAAGATATTTAAATAGTTAAGGTTTTTGCTTTAATTTCTCAATGCAGGAAACTCAGTTTTGCAGGAGATGGAAAGAATAAAATCCGTACCAGATGTTATGCTCTAGAAAGTCAGACCAAGCTGATGTTACTGAAACTCAAAATTTGTCAAAACATCCTAATTCAAAACAACAGCTGCCTGATTTCTATTAAAATATCGCAATTCCGTTCTCAGCTGAAATGCTACTGGGGAGAAAATAGCCTGGAGACGTCTTTTTTGGGAACCTCTAAATTAAAATCATCTTCTGTGATGATTTTTCAAAATGGAAATTTTCATTCAGTATCTTATTTGGTTAAAAAAAAAATGAGCCATCTGACCAATTAATATGGTGTTGACTGGAATTTTTGCTGAGCCTGAGTTTCCCTGGTCCACAGGGCGCAGGCACGCATCCCCGTGTTCAGAGGCAGAGGAAAAAGCTCTGCTTTCCCTCCTCCTCTTCTTCCCTTTCCTTCTCTCTCTCCTTCACGCCCTGCTTCCCCAGGCTTTCTGTACAGGGTGAGGCATCTAAGGCCGCACATTTAGTTAGGCAGGAGACAGAACTTTGTATTTCTGTGCTATGTGGTCAGAATCTCAGCAAATTTAGGGTCGCACTCAGGTAGTTTCCCAGTGCCGGGCCCAGGGAGGCGGGCGTCGAGGGGTTTGGTCATCTTTCCAGGTAGGTGTTTGCTGAGTTTGCCCAGTTTCTGCACGCAGGGCCTTCTCAGATCTGCACTCTCTCGGCTTCCCGTGCCACGTTGGGAGCCCTGCAGTCACTGAGAACCCGTCCGCTCACCTAGATTGCTCCCACCTGCCACTCTTGGAGAGTCTGCGGTTTGGGGAGGGGGAGGCACGGGAGCACGGATTCACTCTGTCTGCTACCCACCTAACCCCGACTTTCGTAATCCGCTTGTCCTCGGTGGGTGTGTGCTTTTGGAGATGGAGGCCACAAGGGGCTGGTGGCAAGGAAGAGCAGAGACGACTCCCTACTGGAAGGGAGGAAAAGAAACGGGAGAAGTAGGGAGAAATAGGTCAACACATCAAACACTGTCTTGCCCTAGTTGTAATAATACTTAGTAAGCATAATTCCTTGGCTTTATGTACAGACATCGACCCTCCCAGAAACCTTCGTCCGTCGGCGGTCACCCAGTCTGGAGGGGTGCTGACCTGGACAGCCCCCTCTGCTCAGATCGATGGCTACATTCTCACCTACCAGTTCCCAGATGGCACCGTTAAGGTACTGGAAACTTCCCATTTCTTCTCTGGGTGCCCATGTGCCCCAACCGTATGCAGCCCCTGACTTGGTCCACCAGCTTGATTGCTAGGGTCATGGCGATGGTAACGAGTTGAGAAACGAGTTGGTCCTCAGTGATCCTCTGCTGTGGGAAGGAAAGGTGCTAGCCCTGGTTATTTGTCGACATCCTACGTGTGGCCTCATTTCACAGGATTCCCGTGTGTGTGCCTGCCCCTAGCCGACGGTTGCATATTCACGGGCCACACGTCTGTCCCATGGTATTGCGTTTATTACTGGTCTTTCCCAATTCACGTTAGCCCCATGAGCACAGGGACTTTTTGTCCATGTCATCTGTCACTGTATCTACAGTGCTTGGAACCAGGCACACAAGAGGCACTCAGTAAATGTTTATTGAAAGAATCGATTAACTCTGATTTCAAGAGTAATACCTCCCACCTGGAATCTGAAGACCAGCAAATTTGGGAGCTTGTTCTGATGCAAGATTTTTCATCTTTCTTCTCGGCAAGAAAGACGGGAGGAAGGGGAAAAGGAAAGGCACATGGATTTATTCATGACCTCAGTGATGACTTACGGCAGCCCTTCAGGGAAAGTTAGTCCCGTGTTCATAGAGGAAGTCAGATCGGTTCAGAAGGAAGAATTGAAAGGCCAACTATGCCCCCGCCTCCCAGATATCAGCGGTCACTTTTACTCCCCTTATTAGCTTGTCAGCCCAGTATCGCCAGCCTCAGTGGCTGTAGTCGGCATCCCAGCATGCATCTGGAGGCTGAGGTTCCCAGGAGACCTGGGGGGTGCTCCCCCAGGGGCAGGACCTGGTGTTCGCTCTCAGCTCGTGCTCCCGTGAATCTCCATGGCACCACCCTCCAGGGAAGCTGATGGGACCCACCGGGACTCTGGGAGCCACGAAGCCCTCAAAGAAACCCAACACTGTCCTCTCAGAGAACTCCTGTCATTAGCCCCAGGGAATGCTGTTGACACCTCGGGCACCGGGGATGACACACTGACTGTCTCCTGTCTCCTTTGTTTGGTAGGAGGTACAGCTGGGAAGAGGGGACGAGAGGCTTGAGTTGCAAGGCCTTGAGCAGGGCATCACCTACCCTGTCTCCTTGGTTGCCTTTAAGGGTGATCGACGGAGCAGGAGTGTATCCACCAGCCTTTCCACAGGTAACGTGGACTCTCGCACTCTGAACGAGGCCATGGTCGAGGGTGGGCATTGGAGAGCCCAGAAGAGGTGTCCAAGGAGGAGCAAGTGGACAGAGTGATGGATTTCTCTGGAAATGGTGCAATAGAAATAGGGTTATGGGTTCAGATGAAATCCATCTCATGGTAGAAAGACTAAAGAACGGAGCAGAACAGAATGTTATTTTGTGGGAGTTAGGGCAGGAAGTGATGTGAACGTGACCTTATTGCTAGTACATTTGAGGGATTTGATGAGAGTGGGGTGCATGAGAAAAATAAGATCTTAGTGAAGAGTTGGAAGAAGCCATGTAGCAGAAGGTTACGGAAGAGTTTCCAAACAAAAGAAATTATCTTCAAAGAAGGGCATAGACCTCCTCCTCCTTCCTTGCCCTTCCCCTAACACCACTGTCTCTCTGCTTGCCTCCTAGTTGGTGCACGTTTCCCACATCCTGCAGACTGCAGTCAAGTTCAGCAGAATAGCAATGTCGCCAGTGGTATGTACACCATCTACCTGCACGGAGACTCCAGGCGGCCCCTGCGGGTGTACTGTGACATGGACACGGATGGAGGCGGCTGGATCGTGAGTGTTTCTCCGTGGGGGAGGGGAGCATTGGCAGCTCATGCTGGCTCTCAGACAGATCCTAACTTAACCCCACCCCCACCCCCCACCCCACCGGAAGTACTTCATACCTGGGATAGAGCCGGCTTTGTGGAACAAAGGCTAATGGTTAATGACTGTGGAGGCTGTGGTTGATCAGCATCTCATGATGCCCTCTGTGGTTGTGTCACCTCCATTTTCTTCTCTCGCAAGCCCTGTCATCCACATGACTCTCCTGCAGAAGCTTTCGCATAAGTGACAGGGGTTACCATTTCTCTTTCATAGATAGGTCAATGGAGGCCCACAGGGAGAAGTGCCTTGGTGCTTTACAAGAGTTAATGACAAAAATTGGAACCAGATTTCAGGACCACCCCCCTCGCCCCCAATCAGGAGCCTCCCAGATCATTGGTTTTCCCTTTGGGTCCTCTCAGGCCATCCAAGAGGGAAACGTATGATCTCTTTGGGCCTCGGGCCTCTGAACTGAAGCCCTTTGTCCAAGTTCTGCCTCCTGCTCTGCTGTTGAGAAGCCAAACTCGGGTTTGAAGGGCTGAAGCCTGAAAGAGGGAAGGTTGGCAGGTTGTCGGGGGTCCCTCTTCTGTGTGGGGGTTTTATTCCCTGGGGGCTATGGTCTGCTTACCCCTCCCCATGGCACCTGCTTCAATTGCTGCGGCCTGATCCAGTTATAAGATGAGCTGGCTTTGAGGGCTGCCCTCTGATCCCTCCGCCTCCCCCCCCCCGCCCCCTTCGCCCCATGCCTGAACAGACAGAGGCTCTCACCGCCCCAAACCAGTGTGTGGCCTCACCTGCTGTCACAAGGAGGAAGCAGGAGCCCCTAGTGCTCAGACCACATTCACTGACACGTCCGCTCCGGGGTCGGGAAAAAGCAAAGACCCTTGAGCAGCCGCGGATGAGACGATCCCATCTGAGAAGCAGCAGTGAAGGAAACTTACCATCCGCGCCGCTGTATCTGGTGGCTGGAAGGCAGTAACCGGAGCGGATGGAGGGAGATTCCTGACTGATTTATAAAAACAACGGAACAGAATGGAACATGGGAGGGTCTTGCCCCTGAGAAGACCCGTAGGGAGGTTCCTGCTGTTTTCAGCAGCTCTGTTTTAAGCGCTCAGTCTCTTCAGGCTGGAAGCCAGTTTCCTGCCTCACGCCCATTAACTGACACATGGCAGAATGTTTGTGTTGCCTCGGGTGGCCTTTTTGAAAGCCAGCCTTCCCTAGGGAAGGAGACGTTTGTCCAGGGCAACCTCTAGAAAGATACCTGCCCGTCTCTCTGCCTGGGCATACCCCAGATTATTTCCCACAAGTATTTACTGGGTGCCTGCTGCGTGCCAAGCACTGTTTTATGTACTCAAGAACCAGCCGTGAACCAGACAGACCCGAATCCCTGCCCTCAAGGAGCTTGCCTTCTACAGCCTGCTCATGCAAGTGACCCTGACCGGGACGCTGAGGTCAGTTCCAGAAATAATCGAATCACCCTGCGTTCTAACCAGCACCAGTCCCTCACCCCCTCCCAAGACTCGTTTTCTGACCCAGGCTCCTGAAGGGAATGCACGAACTGAGTGAGATTCTGTAGGGTTCTGCTCAGAGCTGCCACAGTCTTGAAAACACCCGAGTCCTGGAACCTTCTCTGCCAGATCTTTTACTGACCGTTTCCACCATTTTGGGCTTGAGGATCTTTTGTCACTGAGAGATGACCTTAGTGCATTGCTCTGTTACTTTCTAAAAAGATTTTATTTATTTATTTAAAGAGAGAGAGTTAGCATGAGTGGGAGGAGGGAGAGGGAGAGAATGTCAAGCAGACTCCCTGCAGAACCCGAAGCCCCATGAGAAGCTCCATCTCACCCCCCTGAGACCATGACCCGAGCTGAAACCAAGAGTCAGACGCTTAACTGAGTCACCCAGGAGCTTCCAAAATCCTTTTAAGGGAATTTTTCTCCATGGGGTGGCAGGAACCCAATGTGATTAAGAGGCCAGAAAAACCCTACCCCGAGGTAATTGGTGTCACAGGAGGCGAGCTGGGTTGAGGACCAGACGGGAACACTTAAATGCCTGGAATATTTCCGTCTTTGTCTTCTGTCTTGCAAGTCTTAAGGACTACATTAGAAGTTCTTTCCACAGGAATTTAAATGACATTTCGTTTTTTTCTCCCCAGGGAATCAGTCAGGACATTAAGTTCTAGAGTGCCATGACATCTCTGGAGTGTAGAATTCTGCCCGCCTTGAGACAGACCTGCTAAGGGGTCTCTCTTACCCCCAAACAGTTCACTGTAAGGTGTTTTCTGCCCATAGAATGGGAATGGGTTAGATTCTGAGCAAGTCAAATCAGGCTCCCTGATCAAGAGGTACAGGTAGGTGATCACGGTGGGTCAGTTCACTTGGAATCTGACATAGTAAAAGGCAAACTCTCATTTATTGAGATTTAATAATAACTTATTATATGTGTATGTGCCAGTCTCTGGCCTTCACACTTTTATGATTTATTATGATTAATGATCTTGCTAAAGCCTCGATTTAAGAGCATGACATATGGGCTATTAACATCTTGATCTCGTTGTTTAGAAAAGCAAGGCTTGTCAAGGTTAACCAACTTGCCCAAGGACAAAGCTAGTTAGTGCGGAGCTGCATCTCTGTAGTGATGGAGAGAACATCAGAACCATTGTTTAGAGTTTTCCTAGCTGAACTGAAGCATTATTAAAAAAGAAAAAAATCAGGGAAGGGCACCTGGTTGGTTTAGTTGGTTAAGCTTCTGACTCTTGGTTTCGGCTCGGGTCATGATCTCGGGGTCCAGGGGTCGAGCCCCATGTCAGGCTCTGTGCTCAGTGGGGTGTCTGCTTCTTTGCCTCTCTCTCCCTCTCCTTCTGCCCCTCGCCCTACTCGTGCACTCTCTCTAAAATAAATAAATCCTTAAAGGAAATCAGGTGGGCAAACCCCTCTCATGCCCGAGCACTGTTCCTTGATTGGAGAACGCCTTTGTAAGGCACCTGTCCCAGGTGGGCAGCTTCACAATTGAGCCTGACCTTGTACCATAACCAGTTATGCTAGTGGGAATGTAACCGGACTTGACTTAGAAGGAACATCAGCATGGTGTCTGTCCTGGGATCCCACCGTCTGCAGCACAGGAAGAGTCCCGGGGAAGGGACCAGAATGGGCAGCGTGCTAGGAAATAAACAGCCCCAGGATCTTAAGAAATGAGTTTTGGAAAATGAGCTCAGTGAAGCTGGTATTTTCAAACTTTCTGATGAAAAGATGAAGAGATCCCTGTTTTATCCTTGCATCTGCCACTAGATAATCAGCCGATTATAATTTAATGTGGCTAATCGCCTTCCTGAACTTTCCTGTCTGGAAAATGGCATCATAGGTCCTCGCCCTGCAGCCAGCACAGAACACGCTCCTCTGTAATGGCGGTTACCTGAGTGGATGAGCCAATGAAGAAATGAAGGCAGCCCAGAGGGGAACGAGAGTCTCTGGAATGAAGGACAAAGGGGAGAGAAACCACAATGTTAATGCAGTCTGGAATGATTTGCCCAATCATTCCCTCTGTTCTGCTCAGCAGCTCAGAGCTTTGGAGAACATTTTTACCCTTACCATCTCCTTGAGTTCTCCTCACACCTCTGAGACGGATGCTCCCTTCCCGCTTCTAACCCTGTTTGTCCCACAGCTGACCGAGGCTCAGTAACAGGGATGACCGGCTCACCAGCCGATGGCCAGGCAGTGGCTCGGTCTGCCTTAGAGCCCCGGGCTCTCCCTGCCTACTGGAGAGAGATGCCCTAGTCCAGTGCTTCCTGGGCCAGCAAAGGTGGGCTGGGGCTTTGAAAGGAGTTACAGGTGAGCTCCCACGTGGGCTGTCAGCATTGCTGTAGGCCACCTCTTCTCTCCTCCCTCCCTGTTTCTCCCCACCCCCCAAAACCAGAAAGAATGCACAAATATCAGGAAGTTACTGTACCAAATTTGAGGTTCCATGTTTTATTTCAAGGCACCTGCGGTGAAGCGTGGTGGAAAGAAGGGAGATGGGGCTTTGTGCTGGGGCTTCTGCATTTGAACGAGTATGAAGGGAAGTCGGGGGAGACAAAGATGCCATCCAGCCTTCCAGAACCCCAGAGTCGTTTCTGTGATCAGTGAGGATGGTGTTTAGCACGGCTTTCAAGGTTATGAGGACCATGGCCATTACTACCCATTCCAGTAGTGCGCACAGGTGTGATTAGCTTGTAGGCACTCTTCAGGCTTGCTTAATGTAAAAGAACCTAGTTTACCCTGACAGGCACTGCCTTCCTTCCCCCAAACAAGGAGTTTTGAAAAGCAAGCCGCACATACTTTCAAGAAATAGCCGTACCCAAATCTGTGTCTGTGTTCTCACTGCTCACTCACTCCTCAGGCCATTCCACGTTCGCTTCTGCCCTCGTCTCTCTCCAATGCAGCCTTTGTTAGAGTCACTCGTGACTTTTGTTTCCCTAAATTCTATGGACACGTTCCTTAGTTCTCGTGTTCCTTGGCACTGACCTGCCTTTGGCACCATCAGCCGTACTTTCTCCTGGTGGTCCTTGTGGTTCCACATTTTCCTGGTTGTCCTTCGGCATGCCCAGGCCCTCCCCTTCCTCCTTCATGAGTGCATCCTTCCTCCTGCACCCAGCTGCTGTATAGTGCAGGCCCCTGAGTCTTGATTCTGGGCCATTTTCTCTTTTTAGTTCCCACTTTCTTCTCAGGTGTTCTCATCCTCTCCAGTGGTTTCGCCTTCCTCTCTGTGTCCCCGGGGCTTTCTGTGTTCACTAGGCTAGAGTGGGCTGTGCGGTAGTTAACACGCCAACACCAAATCCCAGTGATTGAGGACCGGAGAAGTTTCTTCTCGTGTGTGCAAAGCCTTCTGTGGGTTTGGCAGTCACTTCTCGGTGGTGACTCAGAGATTTGGGCTGATTCCTCCTCATGGCTTTGCCCTGTGGACACGTGGCCTTCACGGAGGCCCCGAGGCACAGGCGGTGGAAGACGGGGCATGGAGAGAGAGCACCCACTCCCCCTCCCCCCACTGCCCTTCTGTGCTCCCACTAAAGCCCTTTGGCTAGAATGAGTCACGTGGCTCCCACTTGACTGGCCAGGGACCTAAAAGAGAAGCACTTCCCGCCTGTGTTCCTGGGGACAGGACACTGAGATGGGGGAACACTGAGCAGCGTCTCAGACACACCCGCACCTTTGCAAGTCTGGCCCAGATCTCTCTTCAGAACCCTAGCCCTTAGCTCAGCTGCTCCTGTGGCATCTTCGGTGGCCAGGGGACCTCAGGAGTGCCTCACACTGCCCTCGTCCCAGGTGAGCGCACACTGGCAGCCCCTGTCTTCTCAGAACCCCCATCTCAGCCAAGAGCCAAGTGAACGGCCACCCAGCGCCACAAGCCCAAAGCACAGGAAAGGCTCCCTTGCCCTCTCTTTCTGTCCCACTTTCAGTCGCCATGTCGGTCCGTCTGACCTTCCCTCTGCTTCTGTCTAACCTCAGGGCAGCCCCCAGTCCAAGCTACTGTCCTCGTTCACTCAGCCATGGCTGTTCAAGTGTGTCGGAGTGACAGGCCTGTCTTCCCTTGGCAGGTCTTCCAAAGGCGCAACACTGGGCAGCTGGATTTCTTCAAGCGCTGGCGGACCTACGTGGAAGGCTTTGGGGACCCCATGAAGGAGTTCTGGCTTGGTATCATCTCGGGGATTCCGGGAGGGCTGTGGGGGAGGGGTTGTTTCCCCCTCAAAGGCTGTGCGGGCAGCTCTAGAAGGCCCCCCACGTTCAGGAAGACGTCCCAGGGACAGGGACAGGACACTGAGGAGGCTGCCCACCAGGGTGTCGGTCGGGCCATGTTGCCGGGAAGGCTGTCATGTGCTGGGCTCGTGATGGGGTGGACGCATCCCAGGGGGTCTTCATGCTGTGTGTCAGCAACATGGGACCCTCCCCGGGGCCTTCACGTCTTAGAAAAGTTGGCCCACTGGGATTCGGGGCCGTTCCTAGAGGGTCATGGCTGGAGCCCCTGTGGCTCTCCAGGCCTGCCAGTCAGTGTGGGGAGGGTGTTCTCCCTTCTCCTCCTGCTCGAACGTGCAGCAGATACTCATGGGGAGTGAAACAGCCACAAACATCCACAGGGAAAGGAAGAATTAAAGAAATCGTAATCTGGAGACTCCGTGTCTGAGAGGGTAGGTCATGGTCATGGTCAGCTTGGCCAGGAATTCCTTCAGAGACCTCAGGGTGGTGGCTGACGTCCTTGTCCACGTGGCGAGATGCGGGGATGAGAGGGGGAAGCGCTTCTGCTTTAGAGACAAGGAGTCGGGGGCAGGTTCCCCTACCGGTTGCCCCTGACGGCTCCTTCCCAGAGGACACGGTTTCCCCACTCATAAACACGGCTGTGCCGAAGAGAGAACAGGAGGAGAAAACAGGCCCCCCAGCAGAGACAGAGTGAGCAGAGGAGGGAAAGTCCACGGCAACTCTCGGTGCTGGCAGTCACAGACGGTAGCAGGCGCGTGCCTGCACACGCCGCCTGATCGGTTACCTGGACCCCTCCTTTGCTTTCAGGACTCGACAAACTACACAATCTCACCACTGGCACCCCTACTCGCTACGAGGTGAGAGTGGACCTCCAGACCGCCAACGAGTCTGCCTACGCCGTGTACGATGCCTTCCAGGTGGCCTCCAGCAAGGAGCGGTACCGGCTCTCCGTTGGGAAATACAGAGGCACAGCAGGTGGGAGCGCACCTCTCCCCCCCGGGCTGGGGTCCCTGGCTCCCGGTGTGTCTCCCGATCAGACTGCTGCGTGCCATGGTTCAGGGGGTGGTGGGGGGAGAGGGGATGTGCTCCGTGGAAGTGAGCTGTCCTCACTGATGGCTGAGGTGGGGCTCCCTGCCGGGGGCAGCGGGGGTGCAGGGGGGACACCAGAAGTTTGCAAGCAGTCCTTGAGGATCTTAAAGTGGGAACTTCTGTTCATTGTGGGTTGACTCCCACCCCCCCACCCGTAAAGACCCTCATCTCATGCTTCCCTGGTTCCGTCAGCCAAGGAGCCCGCATCCCAAGTGACTCATGGGGCCTGTGCACCTGTCACCGGGCTCCAGCAACGGGGCTGCGGTCCTTGCCCAGGAGTGTGTGTGTGTGTGTGTGTGTGTGTGTGTGTGTGTGTGTGTGTGATTATTTAAATATTTCACAGTTATTTGGTGTAAGTAAATGGAAAACCGAAAGGTGCCGATTCGAACAGCAAGCAGTGTGGGTCTTACGAACCCTGTAGAGCTGTGACGGCACAGGGAATGTCTCACTTCCATTAGTGGCTCAGAGGACTCAAGCCGGCTGGTGGCGTGTCTGTCCAGTTGTGAAGGAAGAGAACAAAATCAAGCGATGTGACCGAAACACTGGGGTGATATAATTGAATATTCCGTTTCAGAGGGACGTGGTGGTTACTGTTTTAATATCCTATTTTCCGTCTGGATTTATAGTTTTTAAATGCTAACAAGTAAGTCCGCTGTTTGAGCCTGCGTGGTTTTGACTCGGGGGTGACTATGTAGGGATGCGGTACCAGCCAGATCCGCTGACTGTATGGGCTGTGGTCTCTCCCTTAAGAATGTCCTGAAAGCAGCTAAGTCACAACAGAAAATAACATCTGCAAAGAGCCACATAAGTGGTGAGGAGAACAAGAGCTACAGGGTGTGAGAAGAAGGGGCATTGAGTCTCAAGGCGTCACTGAAGGAAGTTCCCCACCGGGCAGTGGGCTGGGTCTGGGTCTGAAAGGATGGGACTTAGATGGGAAACAAGGAAGGGGTCCCCAGGCCTGGGAGCGTCCATGGTGAGCAAGGACCGAGCAGAGTCCAGGCAAACGGGGTGTGCTCGTGAAGTCAGTCCACTCTAGAATCCCCTAATGGTGGAGGACTGTGAACAGATGCCTCTTAGTGTCTGGGGCCATGAGCCAAAGTGGCCAACTGCTAAGGCAGTTTCTTGTAGGTCTTATAATTTAATTGTTTTTTAAAAATTACGTGGATTCTGCACTTCCTCTTGTTTTCTGGTGCTTAGCATGGAACCCGGTGCAGAGCAGGTGAGCTTGAAGCCGGATGTTGCTAGCCAGAGCTCTCCATGCAGTCCTACAGATGTTTTGTATCTGGAAGGATACAGACCCAGGTATCTTGCCTCGGGGTCAGTGAAGGCGTGAGCTTGGTGACACGGGGACAAGAGACAGCACCCTATCCCGCATCTCTCCCCGAAGCCCAATGACTTCCCTCCCTGCTGGCTGGGAACCCTCTGGGGCTACCTGTTCTCCTCTCTTCTCTCATGTGCACATACCTGTTCTGAGGCTTGTCTTAAAATACCCAGGAAACGAACTGATGCTAATGGGAAAATGAGTGAAAAGGAATCAATATATTCGTGAATTAATGTGATTCTCCTCCCAGGGACTCTATTTGCATTTTAACTGTGATTACGGGATAATTCCCATTCTGAGATTGTTCAGGCCCACAGTGCTGGTCAGTGGTGGATGTGTTTTTCCATAGGAAGCCTCGGGAGACTTTCAGATCACATGGCATTTAGCCAGCGACCTGGTCTCCCCGATGTGCCACCGTTCCTACTTGGAAACTCTGAAATTGCATGGTGGGCTTCGTGGTATTTTAGCTTTCCTTATATATGCTGATTGGTCCCCAGGAGGGTTTTGAAATTTAGGAAGCTTCTGGCTGCTCATGTCCTAAACGATGAGGTCGTGTTTAGAGGAGGTGGCGTTCAAAGAGAAAGTGAATGGTTTGATGTCTCTCTGCATGTGCCAGCTCCCCCGATTAGAGCTCTGCTTAGAATTGGGGGTTCATGGTTGTGGATTAAACATGCCTAGAAGGATCACCATCACTCCTGCTGTCCTGCTGGGCCCTCAGCTTTGGCTTTCACTGAAGTCCCCATCAGAGAGCCCCTGATTCCTCCACAAGGAAGGTCCAGCAAGACAGTGCTGGGTAAATTTCGTTTCTGGTTCTGAATCTTGGAGTAGGGCAGGGAGGACATCCAATGAACGCTACCTTTAGGATGCTAGTCATCTCCTGAGAAATTATCATGAAAACAGAAATAGATGTTTTGGAGTGGTGCAGAGTGACTTCTAAGGTAAGGGCTAACCCACCATTTACAGCTGGTCTCACGTCCCACCTCCAGGAGACTCAGTGATGCCCACCCAGGGATGCGTCCACACCCTGGGAGCACTTGGAAGCGAGACTGGAGAACTCCGCCAGCGTTTGCTGGGCTGGGGCCAGGGATGCCAGAGGTCCACCGTGAAGAACAGCTCTATGCAAAAGTGCCTTCCTCGCTTTGAAATGGATTTTTACATACCGGTGCTTAAAAGGAAGGGGAAAAATTGTTAGGTCTGTGGACAAGAAGGGAAAGCCAAAAATGGCACACATCGTTCTTTATTGGCCCTTTCTTGGTTCCAGGGTTTAGAGTCCAGACATGTGGTCCTGTGGGACTCAAAGGGGATATGCTGTGGATGGCTTCCTTGGGTCTGAGGTGGCCCAGCTGCCTTGGCCTGCCTTCCTGCCTCAGGAGGTGATGGTGGAGTTATGTTAGATGAGATTGGAGATGACCAACTCAGTGGCTCCACCCTGGGCTTTTTTGAGCCTGCCGCCAACCCCTCCAACCCACCACCCAAGGAGAGCCAGCCGCCCACCCCAAGTGGGTAGCACAAGTTAGGGGTGCTTATTTCTCATCCAGTGTTCTCTCTGAAAACCCTGAGAGACGGGAGAGGGTCTGACCACCACTGGCTTTTCTACTCTGTCTTACTTAGGGAGATAAGCTTAATAAATCAGAACACGGTGTTGGATGGGGGCCTGACAGCCAGAGAAAAGTGATTTTTTGATTCATGGGTACATTCGCTGTCTGTGCTCTGAACGTCAGCACGCTTTCAGTTTCTGGAAGCGAGAAAATCCGTCTGTGGAATAAACTGCCACACTTAGCCCCAAACCTGCTTCACTGTTCATGATCCCAGCGCCCAAGGTCAGAGAACCACAAACAAATCATTAAGAAATAGCCTTTGCACAGACTCTTTGAAAACAGCTCTAGGAACTTGAGATGCAAGTTAGGTAAGCTGTGCTCATTAAAAGTGTCACCAAGGGAGCCATCGCGTGTTATTTTAAGCTGTAGTTAACTGCCAGAAAGCTGAAGGGGAGAGGAGATGCGAGCGAGAGGGAGAGCGACGACATGCCTTTCCTCAACTGGAGGAAATGAATGGGGGCAGAGCCCTTCAGCTGACTTAGCTGGAGGGGCCTCTGCGGCGGCCCTGTCCCTGCTCCCCCAGCCCTTTTTGCTGGGTAAGGGGTGGCAGGACCCACTCTTTGAGCTGCCAAGCCAGAGGGACAATCTGGGAACTTCTCTTTTCCTGGTGTGTTGTTCACTCTTCCCAGAGATCTGCCCCTTGCCAGCCCCAGCGACGTCCTTGAGAGCAGGCCCCCTTGTCTGTGTTCCCAGAGCCTCTCGTGGTGCTGAGTCCTGGTGGGGATGGGGGAGGGTGGGGGGGGTCCCTGAATAAATGAAGTTGCAGACTATATACAATCTGCAGGTCTCTGACGTCACCTTGCACTCCAGGGGCTTATGAAAACACGGACTGCCCGATGGGTTCTACCTTCCTGGTTTCAGCTTCTGTAGATCTGGGGTGGGCCTGAGAATGTGCATTTCTTGCCAGTTCCAGGGTGGTGGTTGCTGCGGGCTGGCTCTTGTTAGCATAACTAAAGGTCCCTGCGGAAAGGAGGAAGCCCCCAAACTAAGAGCCCTGGGCTTGGAATCTGAGGCCTGAGGTTTGAGTCCTGACCTCCCCCCACAGCTGTTTGTGGACTGTGGGGCCTTGCCAAGTCCCCAGAACTCTGAGTCCATTTCCTCCTGGGACCAAGAGCTGCTGCCCCACCTCGTAGGCTACCCTGAGGGGGTCAGAGGAGGGTACTTAGGTGAAGAGGGTCCGTGGCTCAGAGACCCGATGAAAACCGAGTGTTATTGTAGGAACACGACTTGATTTAGCTTGGGATTGATATAGGCCCTTATCGCCTCTTATGAGCTGAATTAAAAAGCAGACTGATAAGAAGATGACAAGGATGGTGGGGAAATAGTAGAGATACAAGTCAGATGATGTGAGTGAATTTCCAGACAGATGTCATGAAACTCTAAACCGAGCCTATGTGCCAGGAAGTCTCCGGAAACTCAGGTGTGTGTGCGAGGAGTGCGTGTGCGAGGAGCTGGTGTGTGAGCAGCGGGTGTGCGAGGATTGTTAAGGAGACTGGTGCTTCCTCGGGTGCGGGGTCCAGCTGGCCTCTGAGGAATGGTTAGGATGTGGACTGAGGAGGGCAGAGGGATGCTGGGGACAGAAGCATGGGGGCAGATCCGTGGACTGCTCAAGGGGCGCGTGCCCGTGGGGACAGCGGGCTCCGAGACTGGGAAGTTACAGCCGAGTTCCAGGCCTGCAGAGCCAGGAGAGAAGGAGCAGCTCCCTCCAGGCGGTGGGAAAGGCGACATTAAGTCTGAGGGCCCGAAAGTGGGTGCGTGTGCTTCAGGGAAGGCTGGGAGAGCTGTTGTGTTGAGATAAGTGCAACCAGAGGAGCACAGGCTGGGTGAGGGCATCTGTGAGTGATCTGCAGGAGGAAGGCCTTGACAAAGGGGTTTGTCAGATGTGGTTGGGGGTTCAAGTTCAGGTGCCTGGGAGGCTGGTTGAGCAACGACGCGGAAGACAGGCGAGGGTTACCTTGCGGAAGGGGTATCAGGTACTGTGAGGAGAGCTGATGGGTTTGGTTTTGGATGTTTGATTACCTCACATGACTGCAGGGCCTCCCAAGTGCGAATGCTTTTCAGGCTCTTGGAGAGACAGGCCCTAAGTTTGGGTAACAGGCCAGTTAGGAGAATCTGTTTGTCTGTATCATGTTCTCCTCTTGGCCGTTTTGAGAGAGGAGTGATTCCCTGTGACGTAAGTGGCTGGATTCCTGGCAATTTTGTGCCCAAAGATTGTCCTGCTGAGTCCAGAACACGATCACCATCTCAGGGGCAAAACTTCAACGTTCACCTCTCATCTGTCCTCTCCTGCAGGGGATGCTCTGACTTACCACAATGGATGGAAGTTTACAACTTTCGACAGAGACAATGATATTGCCCTCAGCAACTGTGCCCTGACCCATCATGGTGGCTGGTGGTACAAGAACTGCCACTTGGCCAACCCCAATGGCAGATACGGGGAGACCAAGCACAGTGAGGTAAGTGACAGGGGAATTTTTTGGCTCAAGATCTCCTCAAAGCTTTCCATTCTCAGGGACACTCTCCAGGCTGGTTTGGCTAACCCTCTCCTTCTGATGTCTCCACTCAGGACAGGAGGGCTTCTTCTCCAGGCTCCATGGCCTTGAGGTCAGGGCCTTCCCTGCCCATCTATAGAAGCTCTTCCCCCACCCCACCGCATTCCCACCGGGGCTGCACGCTTACTTAGTGTAGGTGGTTGGGAACTCAGGCTGTCCGCTGCTGGACAGAGACAGATAACGTGGATTATGCACGTCTCCATGTACTGGTTCACACATAGACACTGTCTTAGTAACAAAATACCGTAGGCTGGGTGACTTGAACAAAACACATTTATTTCTCAGAGTTCTAGAGGCTAGGAAGTCCAATATCAGATTATTAGCAGATTCAGTTCCTGGGGAAAGCTCTCTGTCTTGAGGATGGTGGCCTTTTCACTATGTCTTCATATAGTGGAGAGAGAGCTCTGGTCTTTTCTTCCTTTTCTTATAATGGTAGTGATCCCAGGGCACCTGGGTGGCTCAGTTGGTTGGGCGTCTGACTCTTGGTTTCAGCTCTGGTCATATCTCGGGGTTGTGAAATTGAACCCCATGTCGGGCTCTGTGCACTCAGCATGGAATCTGCTTGATATTCTCTCCCCCCTCCCTGTGCTCTTCCTCCTGTTCATTCTCTCTCTCTCAAATACATAAATAAAATCTTAAAAAAAAGGGGGGCGCTAATCCCATCTTGGGGCACCCACCCTCCTGAGTTCATCTAACTCAATGTAACTCACTCAACTCATCTAACTTCAACATATGCATTGGGGGCAGGACACAAGCATTCCGTTTATAACAGACACTTCGTAATTCTTTCTAGTTGTTCTCCCAATGAAACCAGAGCTATTTTTCTCAAATCCTTTGATCACCAGGAAAATAAAGTCTTTTCCACCTTTGAGTAGACCCACCTCTGGATCCGCTTCCTCCAAAGCCACTCAGAGTCTACTCAGAGTGTTACGCTAAACTCCATCTGAGCGTTCTCCACGGCTCCTCTCCTCTTCCTTGCTCTGAAACGTTCCTGCCATTGATTTCTCAGACCTCTATGAGCTGTGGGCATCCTCTTGACTCCTTGCCAGCTGTGGGACAGCTCCTGGCTGCCCCCACAGAGCTCCTTGAAAATGGCATCCTTGTTCCCACTCATCATGAATCCATCCCCTCCACGAGCTCCTCCCCACCTTGGGTTTCTGATTTCCCACCCTGGGTCCATTCTAGCTTTCAGGAATCCAGCTCTCCCCAGAACTCACTTTGTGACTGGTATTACCGTAAATATGAGCACATCTCAAGTCCGGGTACAGTTTGATTACTTTGGCCCCCACCAGGCAGCAGGGACTCCCAATCCTTGTGCGATTCTTCAAAGGGAAGAAGAGATTTTCCCCCAGGGAGGCCGAGGAGGGTGGGCCCATGAATCATGGTGGCAGCATGTGGGCTGACCCAGGGAAGCCTGTGATCAGAGATCAAATATTTGAAATGAACAGCCAGCATGCCCTAAACCATCCCCGTATTTGCTAATAAAAGACATTCATCTGCTTAATGTGCTTTTCACAGTCTGCAAGGCATTTAAGCTTCTTGTTTATTATTTACCTCACAAATTAAAATACATAAAATTGGTCACTTGGGCTCTTTATTGGCCAGGTTGCAAGGTTATTAAGTGAATTAAATATTATTGCGCTCACCAGTCAAAAGACATAAAATGAAATTTAGTTTCCAGCAGGTTATTTGTTACCCCAGAGCTAGTATCTAAACAGTCTAAATTGAAAATGATTTTACACGATTGACCAATTAATATGTTTATTTTTGCCTTTAATTTTTTGGAAGGAAAAGTGCGAGGCAAAGATAATGGGCGTGTTGCTGTCCAGGTTGACCATGTATTGGCTTTGCTGCTGCTGTGGTCTCCCCCCGCTTGCCCTGGGCTCACACCCCATCCTTCCAACTACTGGGGTGGGGTGGGTGGGGTTGGGGCCTTCCAAGTCATCAGCATGTCAGACCTCAGCTGCCCAGCAGAGGGCGCATGTCTCCAGTTTCAGCCCTACTTCCATAAGGACCCCAGTGACCACTTGTCTCACTTTTTCTCTCCCCTAAGCAGGGAGGGAGGGTTTTCCTGGGAAAGAGGCATTCCTTCCAGCATAACCTACCCCTCCTTCCTCTCAAGTTGCCTCTTCTTGATGCTGGCTTTTTTTTTTTTTTTTTTGGTAGGGGGTGAACTGGGAGCCATGGAAAGGACATGAATTCTCCATTCCTTATGTGGAGTTGAAAATCCGTCCTCATGGCTACAGTGGGGAGCAAGTCCTGGGCAGAAAGAAGCGGACACTAGGAGAAAATTCGAGAACGTTCTGATGGCCTATGGGAGCCCTCATCACACGAGGCAAGACCGGCCTGGGATTGGGGCTGTGTAGGCTTGGGGCAGGGTGGGTAGGAGTGACTGGTTCATGGACGTTCGGGGGATGCTCCTGGCCTCTGGTTTCTCAGATGGCTGGACAACCTTCAGGACAAAACACGTGACCAAGCTTCAGACCATACAGGTCACTTCCCTGTCACCTGCATTTTTGCCCTTCTATACTGGGGGCCTGAAAATCAACCAGTGGTAACATATGAGAAAGACAACACCAGACTGCAAGGTTTTCCAGTCTATCTTCAGGAACAAAAATATGGGATGAGTGGGGAAAAGGAAAAAAAAGAATCAACTTGCACTTCACCAATTGGAAATCTCTGGAAATTGGTATATGTATATATGTAAAGCTCTGCTACTAGAAACCCTTTTCTTGGAGAGAAGCACCAAGGAGGGGTTCTTTTTGATGGCCAAGGGGCTAAAGTGGCCTGATGCTTGTTATCTCCCATCGCCACTGGGTTTTGAGAAAAAAACTGTAAATCTTTCCCCATTTAAAAGATGCTAGTGTTAGGAGGAAGAACAAAGGGACCGCAAGGGACCAACATGGATTCCCATCTAGCTAAGTTGTGACCAGCATCCAGCATGCTGGAAACCAAGCTTCTGTGTTACTGCTCTTCTCGAAGGCCCCCTTCCCACCTATTTGCATAATCACTTGCATAGATCTGCATATGTTGTGAATAAATTATCACTCATTTCAACTTAAAATAATTGGACTCTTTTGATGATTGATTCCTCCCAAAGACTCTTCTGTGACTCCCTTTCATGTCCTCCGGTCCTCAGCCTCCCCTCCTTTGCCTGGCCCCCCACATGGTCAGACCCTTAGGTTTTCTGCAGCTTCTCTGAGACAGAGGCGTACTGTTTGAATGGGCACTTGGCCAGTTGGATCCTTTGGGCTTATTTCCCTGTGACTCTGAAAGGTTTTTCTGTAGCGAAGTCCATGATCATTATTAAAGTAACTTAAATTCCTATTCAAGAAAGAATAATAAACCACCTGATTTAAAAAAAATGTGCCTTGTGTTATTGAACTCACACGAGTGCACTCAAATTCTAAATTTAACCTAAGTGCACGCAAAGGTACAGTTTGTGCATTACGGTGGAATTTGGTCGGCCTGTGGTCGCACACTTGGGTGACAGGAAACAATGGGGTTTGGAACCAGGAGAGGTGAGGAAGTGGGAAGGGAGGCACATACCCTAAAGCCCACAGCACTGTTCCAAGACCACGGAATCCTTTCCTGCCTGGGCTTCTCTAGGCTTTAACCTCTGGCTGAAGGCCAAGCCATACTCTCGAAACGGTTCATGTCACTGCTGTAAGTTTTCAGCATCCTTCTGCAGCCCGTACCACAGTAACTGCTGGGTCTGGTGAGGATGGTCCAAACAAGAGGTCAAGAAGAGTTTGTGTCTGCCTGTTTCGTCCCAGGCAGCGTGCCCTGCCCTGGGGGGGATAGAGGTGCCATCGCAGAGGTGAGCGAGCCGAACAGTGTGGGTCCTGCCATTCATGCCTTCAGTCACTACTCATTCCAGCAAACGCTGATGGGGCCCTGTTAGGGGCCGGGGCCCTCTCTGAGTCCCAGTGCTGAAGAACTGCAGATCATTCCCGTTCTTATGCTTCAGTTCTATCGGTGGAGACGGAGAAAACCAACAAATAAATGTACCAGTCCAGAGGGCCTAGTTCTGGCAGAAAAATAAAGTCAGATTAGGAGGTGGAGGTTGGCCTTGGAGCGGGAGACAGCGCAGGTCTCTCCGAGGAGGAGACATTTGCAGAGACCTGCCACGTTACTGGAGTCCTGATCCAGCTTTGTCGGGGCTGGGGCAGAGCTGATTTCCTCATCCTCTTGAAGGTCCCTCGGCCCGGCTTCCCGGTTCCGAGTCCTCATGTCCCCTGCAGGCCCAGGAGGGTCCTCACCGTGATGGGTCAGGAGCTTGGTGCTCAGCCTGGCAAAGGCAGGCTTTTTAGAAAAGGAGGGCTTCTTTGCAAAGTGGATCAAGGCCCAGAATGACTCAGGGCTGGGTGGTGCGTGGTGGGCATGCTTTCTGACTCCTGACATGCTTGGTAACTGAGCTGGGTCAAGCAAAGATCGTGGGGCCTCTTCGTTAGGCCTTGGGCCTTAGTGGGTCTGAGCTGGGGCTGCTGCCCTGTTGGAGGGCGCTCCTGGAGGAGCTCATCTCTGTTTCAGAGCTGCCTGTGAGGCCAGCCGCCCACCCCTGCATTCACCCACCACAGTATTTTCCACCGCCAGCAAACATAAGAATTGGCTGGAAAAGAGTAAAGTCTTGCTTCCTTTTGCCAGCAGGAGCCCTGCTGACCGAAGGGACAGGCAGAGAAAACAGCTGCTCTGTAAGCTTCTACGTCATGGGGCAGAGAAGGAAGTCGAGAGAAGTTCATTTTTAAAGGGTATTTATCTGAGGAGAACATTCCAGTCCCAAATGTCTGTGCTGGATTCAGCAGCTCTAGCAGCCCCACGCTGGGGTCACACACAGAGTGTAGGTCCTCGGGCAGCGTGTCTGGACAAACCTGCTTTTCAAAGGGGCACCTCAGAGTCAGATTATGAGCCCCCAGGGGTTTGAAGGTGCAGGGGCAATCCGTCCCCGTGAGGACAGACCGGAGAAAACAACAGCTGTCTCAGGAGGATGGGCTGCAAGTCAGGTAGGGGCAGAGCAAGGACAGAATCATCACAAGCAACTGATGAAGTTTCTGAGCCATTTTCTGTTCCACGCAAGATGCTGCTGGTCAGGCCATCACGGACAGAGCCCAGGCCCTGCCTCTAGTGGCCTCGGATGTGGCGTGGACGGACAGCTGTGGGCACAAACCGCGGCAGCAGGAGCACGTTAGGGAGAGTGAGTCGGCAGGGGTGTGGACCCTGCGAGCAAGCATCATGGACATGATGGTCAGCATTAGGTCTGGAAGAAGAGTCTGCGTTGTCTGGGAGGCAGGGCACCTCGGGGGAAGGGAACATGATGTCAAGGATGGGAAAGCGTGGAGGGTGGTGTGGGTGAGGGAGGAACATGGTTTCTTGGTGGGATGAGGAGTGCTTGGTGGGAAGCCATGCCGGAGGGGTGGGAAGGGGCCGCTCTCTGCTCGCACCGTGCATCCAAATCAGCTCTGCTGTAGGTATATAGAACCTGCTTCTCCTCCAGGGACTCTGTCTAAAGGGGTCTCAGCTGAGCCCTGTGCCTCCAGGGTTTCCAAAGCCATCATACCACGGGCCCTAAGGACCTCTGTCAGGACGAACGAGCTGGGCAGTAGAGGGCATTCATGGGTGTTGAATCCTGCAGTCGCGCTGGTGGTCAGAATTGCTTTTAGGAAATCTCTGTCTGGTGGCAGGATGGAGAATGATGGGAAGCTGCTCAGGGGAGTTTTGGGGAGAGGGTGGGGATGCCCAAGCAGGTTAAGGGCTCTTGCGGTAGACCATGGCTCTTGGGTCTGTGGCAGAAATGGTGGGAAAGGGGAGAAGGCACTGATTAAAGAGATTTTTAGGAGGAAGGATCAGCAGGAATTGAGGGGCCTGGGCGGTAAAGGGAGGGCTCCTTTCAAGGCACGGTTTAGAGCTGGTTGTTTCTGACAACAGGTCCTCTGGGAACGGGGCCCCAGAGTTTATGTTTATCTCATGACATCACAAGCTCTGAGCTTTTCAACTGAGAATTCTTAGGGATTTAAGGATCATTAAAGCCAGAACACGCTGAATGAGCCAGGGAGAAACACTAAGAATGACTCAAGGGATTGTGAGCATGGGGATGTCAGGAAGGACAATCACCAGGTGTGGTGTGGGAAGAGAGGATACGTGGACGGGGAGACATGCGAACGGACCTACAGCCAGGCAGGAGGAAAAACAAGCACAAGGAATGAAAAGCTCTTGGCAAAACAGAGTCGTTTGCTGGAGCAAGTCCTCTGCTGACAAAATTTCCAAATCATTCCCTTAAGCTGTCCACCACCAGGGCAGTGAAGAGGATCAGGAAGGAGTTTCTGCCCACAAAGGACACACCCCCAAAGTAGACATGCTGTATCCACACAGGCCAGGAGATGGCAGTGTTGTCCCATTAGGAGCATCTCCCTTCAAGGCCACTTTCCAACCCTCTATAAAGAGGCGTTCTGGGGGTCCTCACTTTTCTTCCTTCCTGAGTAACATGGCCTGGAGAATCAGCTTAGGGGGGATGGCCCAGCATCCAGCCCATGCTCGGTGATGGTGCAGGTAGCGTTGCTGCTGGACTAATGCACAAATCAGGAAACTGGGAAATACTTTGAAGAGATTGGCTAGTGAAATCTGGACTCTAATCCCCCCCAGCAGGTCTCCTGGGCTGGTGCTGAGGCAGGAGATGGGTCCCCTGGCCTGATGAGAGGTGAAGGGGGCACCCCCGGAAGAGATTTTAGGCAGCTCCTAATGTGTAAATGTATCCACTTCCCAAAGTCCTTCTGTTAGTTGGTCGTTTCTATGGGGGAAATGGGGAACGGGTAGAATTCCACTTCCAATGTTCTATAAAGAAGTTAGGTTCCCAGGTTAGTCCATACATGCCTGTTTATTCTATAATGCCGATAAATTGCAGTGCACGTGTAATGACAGAAATAGAAAACGATGGTATTGCAGTATTGTAATTTAAATAAAGGAAGGAAGCAAAATGGGGTGGCAATGGTTCTTTACTTGGGTAAGTGAAGAAAATTATGTTTAATTAGACCAGAGAAGGAGGCAGGTGAGGCTTGCTGTGGACCACCTGAAGGAGACATCTGAGTACTCTGAAGGCTTATGGGCGGAGCCCTTGAGTGCATTCCAAAGGTTTCCAACTCAAAGGAGGTACGGCAAGCCAACGGTCTTTGAGGAGCCCAAATCTGCAGACGAGCCTGGGTCAAGGTGCCTGGCGTGTGTGGAAGGGGCACTAGGATAGGATCCTGGAGACTTCGGTTTCCATTGCAGGTCTGGGCGCATTGCCATCTTCTCTAGACCTTATGTTCTTCATT